CCCCTGGAGGCCTCCGTGGACACTTCCTGGCATCAAGGAGCACGCTGAGGAGGATCCAGCTCCAGCAAGGCCAAAGACCAAGGCTCCTGCTCTCTCTTGCACAGAGGCTGGAGCAGAGTTGGGCTGCTTATTCTGCTCTGGCCAGAAATAAAGACAAGCTTCTGTAACCCTGATAATGTTGCTAAACTTCTCTTCCTTTTTGAAAGGAACATTTTCCTTTTCACTTCAGTAGTGAAGAGTGGGTACCTTCTTACCCCTTGGTTGGCTTTCCTCTTCTCCCCCTAGAGACCAAGGGTGCAGTCATATTTTGGAGGGCGAGAGCTTTTTTTGAGAGGAGCCTGGCTTGCTGTGGTGAATGGGAGTTGGTCGTCCCACGTGAGCCCTTGCGTGGGAACAAGGCTGTTCATGATTCTCTCTTCCAGAGATGCCTTTCTCCCTGCCCTTCATGCTGTGTTCAATATTGGGCTCTTGAGCAATATTGATCCCATCTTTCCCTCTTCTGGGGTTTCCTTGTTTGTGAGTCGGGTGCTGCATGGTCTGTTGGTCTGACTCAAATTTGCAGCCATTTCTGCAAGCATGTATTAGAGAAAAGCAGCCCCAGTTCTAACTGGAGCCCCACTTCTGTGTGAGCTATTGTACATACCACCCAGCCTCCCTGTGGCTGATTTATCTGAATTCTATAAAGGAAATAGAAATGAGCATGATTTAAGACCAGATCCCACTGGTAAAGACCAGCAACCAAATACAGAACATATACAAGATGGGTCTGGTGTAGCACTGTTATCAAGAATGACTATGAGAAGACAGATCAGTGCGGACTGCAGCAAGGTCTAGAAGGAGCTTTCTGAAGGATGTAGACTGTGGGACCCACTGATGTGCACACGCATGGTGGTGCTTTGTCCCAGAAACCTCCCACCTGTTGGCATTCTTTCCTTGCGCTTCCCCCTGAAAGCCTGCTACTGCCAGAGCTCTACCATGGCTCTCACCCCATCCTCTTTGCCAGAGAGATTCACCCACTTCCGTGGCTAAGACAGCCACCATGAGCTACTGACAAGGAACCTTGTTCTCCAGCTCAGACTTTTCTTCCAAGACTTTTACTGGTTGACTTCTCCCACTGTATAACCCAAAGGCATTGACAGCCCGCTGATCTCAAATAGAGTTCACCCTCTCTCTCCTTGCCCCAAACTTGCTGTTCCCCCAAACCCAAATCAAAGAAGTCATCTCCAGCTCCTTTGTCTCTGCCACCCCCTGCTCTTCCCTGATCTTCAGGTACTGTCAGTTTCCATCCTTCCTTTCTCCTCTGTCACGCCTCCCAGGCCATCATCAGGGTCTTCCTGGGTTCGTCTTCTGGCCTCCGCCGTCACCGTCTGCCAGGCCAGCCTTTACGTGGACAGCCATTGCCTTTCTAGCACACTCACCTGATTGTGTTCTGTGACTCAGGTTTCAGCAGTTTCTCGCCACCCACGAGATGAAGCCTACTGTCTTTGTTCGGTATCGCCTATCTCAGCCATCTGACTCCCTGCCTATTTGACCCACCTTGTCTCTAGCCATTCCCCGCATCCACCCATGCATCTGCTCTACCCTGAATGCCCTCTTGACTCTGCGTTTCCTTCCTGCTTCCTGAAATGACTTCCTCACTGTGGCCATCCTAATGGAGACTCCAAGTTACTGTACTTTGAAGGTACCCCTCATTCCCTATGGCAAACCAAAAGGCTCATTGTTCTATGCTCCCCTAGAACATTGCGTATACTCAACACTAGTCCTGTTGCTGTTAGAGTTTTTGTAAGTCAGCCATTCTCTCTAGATTAAAAGTTCCTTCATGGAAGGGTCATGTCTTCACAGAGCCTGGCCCCATTAGGCATTCAATAAATGTTGAATGAGCAAATACCAGGATTCCCACACTTGGCAAAGAAGTCAGCCCAGCATATAGCAAAAGCATCTTTATCTTTCTCACACTGTATAAGGGAGTGACTTTCTAGTTTGAGACCCCCATTGACATGTCCATCAGGAGCAGCCAAGGAAGCGAAACAGCTGTGTTCCAGCCAGAGGCATGCATGATTTCAGTGGCATATCAGCTTCTGCAGGAACCAGCTCTGCTGCTCCCTGCTTGTCTGCATTCTCCAACCACAGCCACAGCCCACAGCTTCACAGAATGTAAAAGGTAAATGGGAAGTTACAGTAGGTGGTCCTTAGCATTGCATCCAACAGTGTGGCATCTGGACCACGGGAAAAAATCTGAGCTTTTAGTTTGAGTCTATCCCTGGCCAATAGCTTTCAGAATCCAGCATCCAAGTCATTAGAATTCCTGACTAGAGGGGAATGAAATGGTCAAGGCTTTTGCTTCTCTGGTTTGTTTCTCTCTTAACAGAGTTTTTGTTCTAATCCTTGGCAAGGGAAGGTGCCTCACCACAATCTAGAGAGTGAAAGGTTAGTAGGCTGTGTTCTTAAGAACTGGGATTTCCTCTTCTTTGTTAATCAGTTCTCCTTACAAAAAGGAGTGCTTTTTGAGCATATGGCGCTGAGATAGGAAGATGCTTGCTCTCAAACAGTGTCCATGTGTACTGTACCTGCCTCAAGAAAACAGGGCCAAAAGGAGCTTACATTGCCCAGGAATGCATCTAGAAGGAACTCTTGAGGAAGGCCTAACTCATCATGTTTTGAAGTTGGATAGGAGCCTCTTCCAGGAAAACTACTGCCAGTGGACCCCCATTTTGACTAAATGAGTGAGGCCGGCTCTTCCATTCCTCTAACCAGGGCAATTCTAGTTGTCAAAATCGTTTTATAGAAAAGGAGCTAGCCCTGATTGAGCTGGGATTTGCACCCAACCCCATGCCTTCTGACTCTTAAAACACCATGTTATCATCTTGGCTTATAAAGCACCATGTTTACAACACGATTCAATAGCTCGGGATTCTGTTCATCATCAGTGGACTTTGCACGGTTCAGCTGTAGGGCACCCAGTGAAAGTTTGGTCCAAGACGCTGCTCCCTTCTCTTTTGTGATGAATTGTGCCCAAGAGCAGCATTGGGTTACCCAGGCTTCTCTGAACCATGATCATTGAGTTTTCTGAGCAGTGACTTGGGACTTTCAAGATGTAAATAGCAGACATGAAACCTGGTGACAGAGTGATAACATGCCGTTGGCCTGAAAGACAAAGCTGTAGTTAAAATCATTGCCGCTCGCTCTGCAGAAGCATTATCATTCCTTCAGCAGAAACAAAAGCATGGTGGAAAACGCAGTCTGGTAAAATAGCTCCAGGATGTTGCAGGATGGAAGGTTCCAGACTCCTGAGCTACCATGTCCTGGACTCTTGCTCTAACTGCAGTTTGAGTTTGATGATGTAAGGGGTCAGTATGATGTGTTTGGGGAAGCCTTGTCTGTTGGTGGTTAATAACGGGCACAGAGGGGCCCCTGCTTGTCATAGCAGAGTGAAGGGCTTTCAAGCACAGAATGGAGTGATTTCTAGCCTGAGCTAACTGAGTCTGTTTTTAAGATGCCATTGTCTGTCCAGTGTCAGTTCTCCGGAAATTCTCCTTCCTTGGCCTCTGTATTACTGCAAATCAAGAAGTAATCTCACCAGGCCCATCATCCCCACCTAAATCTTTGAGTTCAGGAGATTATCCCATACCCACATTCCCTACACCTAGAGTTGGTTCACTCGGGAAGAAGGGCCTGATTTCAGAATAGTCCTGGCCTCTTTCATCAATCCCAACATTAAACATTGAAAAAGTGGAAGTTCTCGCTTGTTTTGGAATGTGTGTGGTCAGTGCCTCAGAATAAAGTACTTAGCAGTTGGTAGACTCCTACAGTCAACATGGTTGGTAATGGATAATACTTTAAAAAAAAAACCAGGAATAATGTTTAGCCTGTGCTTTAGCATTTCCAAGTACTTTGCAGTCACTGGTTTTCAGCCACTGGTCGGCTGTTTGGTCCTTACTTTACAAGAATTGGTACATTATGGGAAAGAGCTAAGAATCAGGAGATCTGGGTTCTAGTTCCCATTTCACCACACACTTGCTCTGTGATCTAGGCTTAATGACTAGTTCTTAAGAACATAGCCTGCTAACCTTCCCTCAGGGATGAGGAAAGATGATTCTGGAAACTTTCCAAAGATCCTATCAGCTCAAAAACTCTGACTTAAAGAATATGGGCAAATACTTTCTTTTGGTTTTATTTGATAAGGTAATAGTTCTCCTGTGGATTTTCAATACAATTACTGTTTACTTTTCTTAACTTTAGAATGCAAGACTTGGGGGTTATTTCAGATGCACTTTAGAATTCCCATTATTCTGTGGCCCAGCCAGTCTTTGAGCCTTTCAAGTCCTGATAGATGTTTCTGGTTGACAATCAAGTAAAAAGTCAAAGATGCCCTTAGGCATATGCAGGGAGGCATTTTTTATGGGGAAAGATCAGTCCAATAGGAGATGGAAGACAGTCAGGCTAGGAATTAGTGACCTCTATTTTCCTATCACCGTGGGCGTGGCTGAAAAAAAAGGTGTGTGAAAATCTGCATTGACTGTACAAAGGAATTATCTTGAGGACGTAGTCTGCCCCTGCAGCTCTGTCATTCTAAGCCAGCTCTCTCCAAATTGATGAACTGTCCAGCTAAGGCAGCTGTTCCCTGCCATCTTTTTGGTCATGAACATTCCCTTTGGGAATCTCATGGAAGCTGTGGATGGCCCTCTGCCCAGAAAACTGTCCATCTACTCACAAATCGGGATATAACTTTAGGGAATTTCTGAATTCCCTGAAGCTCATGGACCCCAACTTAGTACCCCTGGTCTAAGGAGAATGAAGGAGCCCACCAGTAGGAATGTCTGGGCTAGCCTGAGTGTTGTTCGTCTCAGCTCAAATTAAATACGTCATAACAAAGGTATCTTTTTTTTCTTTTTTTTCTCTGACCATCACCCTCCTTTCCTTTCTCTGTTCCTCCATCTCTCATCACCTCTTCTCATTCCCTTTCATTTCTGCCCCCATCTCTCGCATAACTTGTGCCACAGATGTTCCAGCCTGGCTAAAAAGCCTCCGCCTGCACAAATACGCCGCGCTTTTCTCCCAGATGACCTATGAGGAGATGATGGCCCTCACCGAGTGCCAGCTGGAGGCGCAGGTATGTGCTTGATGTGACTGTTCCCTGAGAGGTGCCCCAGGCAGGACCTGAAGTTCAAGGCCTGGACCACCTGGTTTAGATCCATACCTGTGCCCACACAGTAGCTTGCCCTATCCTGGGAACTGTGGGATGCTGCCCAGCATTCCATGGTGAGTAAGGCTGGGTAGGCTCTTGTCTTCAGAGTCCAGTAGGAGATGGAAGACAAGCAGAAAGCAGGAACATGAAGGTGAGATCAAGTGCTGTGAAAAGACATAACTTCGGCACACTCGAAAGTTTCAGGTGCTAGGGAGGAATCAGTGGAATTTCCCAGGAGAAGTCACATCTGACCATGCCACAAAGAATCTCCAGCCCTGCCTTTGCTTTTCCCACTGTGTCTCCCTGTGCCCCAGCAGGGCTTGGCTTGTTTGGGAAGTGACAGATCCATTGTCTATTGTCTAGTCCATTACAAACCAGCTAGCTTCTAACTGGACTGGTGAGTAGAAGCACCAGGTCATGCCTCAAACCCCTCCCAACATTTTTAAAAAGTCATGTTCAGGCCAGTCTTTGTTAAAATTGCAGTAAAGTATACAAAATATTTTTGTCTTTTAACATGAAACAAATCATTGAGAATGAGATTTCCATAGGTCTCAGATTTCATTTCCCTTCTGCATGTCATAAAAAGACAAAGGTTCCCCTTCCTTCTAAGGCATCTTTCCCCAATGTGGATGCCAAAGGCCAGTCAACAGAACCCCTGAAACTAAGCATGTTTCCGACCATGCTGTGCACTGAGTAAATGGATCTGACCAATGCCTTTGTTTCCCTTGTTTAAAATGCTATTTGCATACTGCACATTGGCCTCAGTTTCCTTTCAGCAATGATTTAAAAGAATTGATGGTCTGAATAGGCTAAGAATATTTCCTTTGCAGGAAGAGGAGATTGTACCATTTGGGCATGGCTGGTCTGGACGGACACCTCCCCGCAGATCGCCGGTTCCCGGTGCTTAGTCGGTACCCTCAGTTGACCCCGCGGGCCTGGCGGACTCCCAGTGTAGAGACACACACAAAGCCCAAAGTCACTGCACATTCTCAGAGAATGAAAGGCACTCATCTCAACTTCCTAACATTTCTCCCACCTCTTTTTGGATCTTGATTGCTCCTTGACATCCCAGGGATTGATGAGAACTGTTTCTAAGAGCACTGCTATGTTTGGGTCAGAGTTGAGGAAAAAAAATCTAAGTCATCAGTTGATCAACTTGAGGAAAAAAAAACAAATAAGTGACACTGAGGGCAAAGCCAGAGGCCAGCACAAACTTTTCAGAGTAATTAATTCACTCGAACCCAACGTTAAGGGTAAACAGAAATACACCTCCAGTGTTTCATCTTAGAGACAGGGTTCATTTGTCATTTGAGTCTTAGTTTTTCTAGTACAGATGTTGATATTTCCATCTTTTCCTTTAAGAAGAATTCCATGGAACAGTTGCAAGAAGTCACCGGATGTTTGTGTTAGAAACTTTGAGAAAGGGATGTCTATCAGGAAATTGGCAGTATCTATTATCAAAAACTATTTAACTGAATCCTTAGGCTCAACAAAATCCACAGCTGTCACTGTGAATTCTAATCATTCACCTGAAGAGATGACTGAATTATGGATTTCAGTAACTTTCTATTCTAGTTTTCCTTAGAGAAACAAAAAGTCGGGCTGCAAACTAACAGAAATTCCCCGTGTTTTATGACAGTCCATGTGGACTCTGCTGGGCTGCTCATCTTCTCACAGGGAAGGTTTGAGAAAGCTGTGAATTTCTGTATGGGGTTGGGGCCTTCAGGGAAACTGAGAAGGACTGAAATGATAAAGCCTGGAGACGAGGAAGCGTGCATGACTTAAAAATTATCTTTTAAGACTATGAAGAAATTTCATGCTGGGTAGAATAATTGGCTGTTCCACATCTTTCTCTAAGATACAGAAATATATGAATACAGATAAATAGCATGGTCTAAAGACACAGGCAAATGTGTCACCAGATGGAGTCAGAATTAAGAAGATGGCTGGGGAGGCTGTAATTCCAGCACTTTGGGAGGCTGAGACAGGAAGGTCGCTTGAGCCCAGGAGTTTGAGAACAGTTTCTGTAACACTGCAAAACCCCATCTCTACTAAAAATACAAAAATTAGCCAGGTGTGGTGGCCTGTAGTCCCAGCTACTTAGGAGGCTGAGGTGGGAGAATCACCTGAGCCCAGGAGGTCAAGAGTGCAGTGAGCTGAGATGATGCCGCTGCACTCTAGCCTGAGAAACGAGAGTGAGACCCTGTCTCAAAAAATAATAATAATATTTAGTAAGAGGAGGTTTATGATGATGAATACTAATGAGATAGGTAAGTGGATATTGATGAGCCCATGAATATATAGGAACGAAGAAGATGGTAAAGGCCTCCAAGAATCTGTAAGCTGATTCTTAAAAATAATGTTTTAAAATATATATGTAAATATAACTTGTTATTTAATTACAGAACGTTACCAAAGGTGCAAGACACAAAATTGTCATCAGTATTCAGAAGCTCAAAGAAAGACAGAATCTTCTGAAGTCTTTGGAAAGGGTAAGTTATTGGATGCGGGAAAGTTTCCACTTTCATCATAGGAAAATGAACCAGGAAAATTCTCCATTGGAAGCGTCTTCAACAGACCTTCTCGAGCATATCATGCGGTTTCCTTACCAAAGTCAGAGAAAACGGGAATGCTTTTGAAGTGAAACTTCCTGGTTGCACATGCTACTTTGGAACCTGATGCCACAGTATGCTTATTCCCTGGGCCCAGGCTGCCTTGCCCTGCTGTCCTAGAGCCCTGATGAAATGCTGTCAAATGTACCCCTTTTATGTACATTTGTGCCTCTACGTCATATACATTTGTAGAGATCGGTGAGGTGTTCAGTTCACAATCAGGGGCTGAAATCTTGGCCAAACCGGGTAGGGAATCCACAGTGTGCTTTGGTCTCACTGCCCTCCCAGGGGAGGGTCTGTTTTGAGAACAGCTGCCCCCAGAGTGGTAAACACCAGCAGGTACACTGCAGAGAGAGAGGGTCAAAGGCATTTGGCAGGCAGACATAGTTGGCTCTTTCAGGCTTTCAGTTAACAACAGAATGGGTCCCTGTGACTCTGATAGGAATCATCTCAAAAATGCTAAATGCTGAAAAAAGTTGATTCCAACATTAAAAGCCGTGATCAGGCTGGGCATGGTGGCTCACATGTGTAATTCTCGCACATTGGGAGGCCGAGGCAGGTGGATCACTTGAGATCAGGAGTTCGAGACCAGCCTGGCCAACAGGGTGAAATCCTGTCTCTACTAAGAAGAACATACAAAAAAAAAAAAAAAAAATTAGCCGGGTATGGTGGCACATGCCTGTAATCCTAGCTACTGCGGAGGCTGAGGCAGGAGAATTGCTTGAACCCCGGAGGTGGAGGTTGCAGTGAGCCACGATCGCGCCACTGCAATCCAGCCTGGGCAAAGAAGTGAGACTCCATCTCAACAACAACGAAGAAAAAGCGGTGATCAGCTGCCTACTGCCCCATTTTGTGTGCTGCCTTCACAGCTCCTCTTCTTATCTTTGTGTTCGGGTGCTCCCCTGGTAACAGTGTCCTTTTTAGGACCTAATGACTACATGATTTCATCTAAGATCTGAAGGAGGGCAGGCCCATCCCGCTCTCAAGTGAACCAGCATGGCCTCTACCTCAGGGTTGGGATTATTTTTCACGGGTACTGGGAGGCAGGAGTGGTGGGTGGGAAGTTCTGTGGGTATTTGCAACCTGCAGAGCTTGAGAGGTAACCTCTTCTAGTAATCCCAGGGAGCTTTTGGATTTTGGAAGGGGACGGCGTATTGAGGAAGGCAGGGCTAAAGCAAGTTGTGTGAGCATGTAAACATGTAATGGAGGGGGAATTTTTCATCTGGTGCACAAAGATGTGTGTGTGTATGATTTCATATATGCTATATAAAAGTATATTTAATGCATATAACATGTATATTTATAGAATATATATATATAACTTTATAAGAAACATTTCTTTTTAAACCTCTGGACAGATAGACAGAGGCTTCTCGTGTGCACATCTATGATTAAAGGCCTCTTCTTAATTAGAGTGAATTACAAATTGCAAGTGAGCTATCCAACTGGACCTGAGGTTTATTTGTTGTTGTTTTTAATTTTATACTAACTCCTTGAGCAAGCAGCTTGTCTGAGTGATTATTGCCATTTTTAAATTGAGAACGCATTTTCTTTAGGGGAACATTCAAAAGGCCAACTTACTCTTTCTTTGTTAGAAAGTACAGAAAACATTTTGCATAAGGATTTGATTGCAAGTGTTAGGGTAAAATAGTGATTTCTTGCTGGAGCAGCCTTGAGGATTCACTCATATCCTCCATCACTGAGGAAGCAGACCCACCTGGGAGACAGATTACTGTTAGCTCTATTCCCTGCAGCCTGGCAGAAGTCAGCCTGGGGAACACTCTGGCAGCCGGGTAGCAAGGGTGACCCTGACATGCCATTGACGAGTTAGTGATGTTTTCTGTGTCCCAGATTTTGCACCTAGAATAATATTGACTCCCCTGTTCACTGGAATGGGAAAGTAAAAAAGATGCAACATGCAGAGCGAAGTGTGATGGCAGCCAGTGGTCAAGTGGAAAGAAATTGTGAGTTTATCGAGTCTGACTTCTGTGAGAGAGGAGAGCTTACGTGTGTCAGATGACTGGGTTCAGCTTGCATCGGGACACCCGAATGTTTGGACATCCTGTGTGTTGAGTGTCCCTGCATGAGCTGATGAGAGGCGGTGGGAAGGAACCTCTCTCAGGCATCCACTGAGGCCTCAGCCTCTGACCCTCCTGTCTCTTCTCTGGATCCCCTCCCTCTCCTGCTTTGTAAGGGAGTGGGTTGTTTGTAACTGTTACCACTGAAGACACCAGTGGCAGACTCGAATCAGCTGTTTCTCAGGCATTTCCAGACACCGCTGGACTGATGGTGCTGTTGGAAAAAAAAGTGACCTGCCCTTGCCTGCCTCCCGTATTCTTACCTCACATAGATTTCTAAGGAGATCGCTGGGGCCCCGCCCACAGTGAGTTCATAATTGGCGGTGGCTCTCTGAGCTCTATGTTCAGAGCTGTTTTGTTCAGTTACTGAACCCTGACTAAGCAGCTGCCTGGGACTCAATTTGCCCCGTCCACTGGAGGTTAACTGTGAGTCATACATGGTTCCTGCCATAGGGAGCTGGGAACTTGCATTGGGACAGTTAGATATGGCAGCATATGATCTCACAACCCAGTCTGGTCAGTGTCATTACCACAGCAGGTAGGGGAATCTTCCTGAGGTGAAATAGACCACTGTACAGTGATGAGGTGGGAAGCCTTCAGAGGAGCAGGATGTGGGCTGGGAAACTCACTAGGAAACTCACTAGGAAGGGATAGAAAGTCTTGATGGGACCTTGAACCAAAACAGAGGCAGTCAGGATGGAGGAGGAGGATAGAGATCGTTTAGGGGGAGTCTAGTGATTGTGGCGAGGCTTGTGTTTGAGTGTCACAGCATTTGGGGGCAGAAAAGATAGGAGTGGGTGTGGGAAATGGAGGTCCTTTTGAAGGGTTGAGTCGCAGATGCCTGTGGGACACCCAAGTGAAAATGGCGAGTCAGTGGCCAGAAGAGCAGGTCTAGGGTCCAGAAGCCCCGCAAGGTTTGAAAGGCCCAGTTGTGTATCGTCTGAGTGTAACTGGTAGTAGGTACTCCCAGAAGTGTGTGTCAAGTGTCAAGTGTGTGGATAGGCCTTGAGGAGCACCATAAGATGTGGAGGGGCTGAACATTAATACAGGCTATGCTTGCAGAAGGTCGGGAGTGTTTGAAGGAAGGAATCCCGCCAGGTCACATGGAAGTGTCACGTACAATGGAGATATAAAACTGTCCCCTGAAATTGGCCCTCAGCAGGTCACTGTTCCATGATGACAAGAGTTCCAGGGGAACGGGAGGAGACAGAAACAGAAGCCCATGAACCAGATGGTGTGAATGAGTGAGGAGCCATGGGGTACAGAATTGTAGACTTCTCAAAATAGGTGGTGGAAAAGGAGAATTAGAATGGCCGCTGGAGCAGATGTTTCCATATCTATCTTGAGTAATGAACATGTTTCCACGTGCTTTTATTCATCATCCTTCCTTTTCAGCTCACTCTCAAACTGTGAAGCTGAGCCGCTTTCTGAGCCTGGGTCCCTGGCATGGAGAAAGGAAATAGATAGACACACACACACTCACACACTGACCCCTTCCGTTTATTACAGCTCACAGGAGGAGAGCATGTTTCTCTGTAAGCCTGTGCCTTTTCTTCAAACACATCCAGAGCTTGTCCTCTTGGGTTCAGATTTGAGACTCCCAATTCTATCAACTACTGCAGAGAAACAGCAGATAATATTAAATGCTAAATATTTCTGGAGTAATAATGCCCTGTACTAGTAATATGCACTGTACACTTTTTAAAAATATTTCGCCCCTATTGGTGGATTTGGCCCTTAGAGCAAACATCCTAAGATAATCAGGAAAGCTGCTAGTATCCGATTTTAAGAAGAAGAAACTCTAGTGGGTCCAAACTCTTTAGCAAGTTGGTTGCTAAGGACTTGGAAAAGCTCTTCAGCTTCATCTGTGGCCACCCTGAGCCCTGCTCGGCCACATACAGTGTCCTTTCATCCTTTGTTCCTTTCGTGTGGTTTCTCCTTTGCTGAAACATGCAGTGGTGGTCAGGGGTCCCTCTTATGTGTTCCCACAGCTCCCTGCCCTGATGCCCATTATATCTTAATGTGGATCCTAGAAACTGCAAGCACCTTAGAGCAAAGATTATGACTTGTTTTTGAATCCCAGCATGTAACAGTCCCTGGTTGATGACAGGGCTGATGGCGGTGCAGGTTGATGCTCTCTCATGATGGATGTATGAGAGAAGGAGAGAAAGAAGGGATGCACTGGATATAGGAGTCCTGTCTGTCACGTGAGGGTCCCAGTTCTCTTACACAAAGGGAAGGATGGAGCCAGAGACACATCGCCTGAGTGTTGGAGACACTCCGGCTGCTCAAGTCTCTCTTTTCCAAATGGTTTGCAGCTGGTTGTTGTCATACGCCCAGGAAAGGCACTGAACCAGCCTTCCTCCAAGACCCAAGTAGCCACACCAGGGCCGGTATAAGCCAGAAAGTCATTTCCTTCCCGCTTCTCTACTGAGTGATGGCTGTGGTCAATGGTGGACCAGACTTCCCGCTGTCTGCTCTCAAAGGAGCTCCCGGGCTTTGTAACAGCATGTTAGTTAATGAACAGCTTCACTGTGGCTTTTCGTGTTTATCATGTGGGATTATATTTTCAGTATGAAGGACCAGCGAAGAGTTGGGTGGATTCCCAATTTTTTTTGGTCAATGTGGAGAATTAATTCTCACAGTTAGTCAAAGGTGCTATATTGATTTGCATTCCAGCCATTTCCCTGTTTCCTTCTCAATTCGGGCACTCTGTTTTGAGTTCAGGAATTCATTTTTAAGAGTCAGGAACATGACCTGTTGGTCACAGTGCCATACTAGTGATGCCGGTTTGAGCAGGGGATAAGCCAAGTGTTGTCTTTGAGACATGGCTCGATGTTTATGGGGGTGGGGGGGAACCACAAAATTCCACATGATTCCTGGGAAGCTATATTTTATAGGACGTATCCAACATTATTCACTATGTCTTTGATTTCTTTTTTTATTTTTATTTTTTTGGTGTGGTTGCCTCCAGTAGAAGAATCAGATAAGATTTGAATGGGTCATGTATATGTTTCCTGTTTGAAGGCTCTTCCCATAACCAAAATCTCCTCTCACCACTAGCTGGAAAAAACTTCTCGCCATGTGACAAGAGCAGGCAGGGGTTTGGTGCGGTTGGCAGAGTGTCCCAAGCATGCATTTGCTCACCCCATTGACAGCAGCTGCATAGGATGTCCTGGCAGGGATACGTGTGATCACCCCAGCTTGGCTTTCCTAGCCCCTCTTCATAGGGAAGCCTCGTCCCTCTCTTGACCCTTGCCCTCCTTAGTCTCCTTAGTCAGGGGCTGGTCAAGGAAGTAGTGTCCCCCGCAACCCAGGGGCTGGTTGGGTGGTTGAAAGGACCCTGAGGAAGGATCCAGGGGTCCCCTGCTCAGCACACAATCCCATCAGAAAAGGTGGTAGGTGCTCCCTTGGTATAGGTCAGCTAGCTCACCTCCCTGTGCCTGTCCTGGTCACATCAACAGGTCAAATCAAGGAAGCAGGTTGCATGGTAGTGTCTAGATGCTGGGAAATGGCCGGGCCTACTGTGGGCAGCAGGGAAACCGGGAGTGATCGGGGCACACCTGACTCCTGCATAGACATCTGCCATGTGTGGAAGGAAGGTGGCAGATGCTGAAACTCTCCTCTTTAAGAGAAAAAGGCACTTTCTGCCCTAAAATAATCTGGACAGTGGCCCTGGCCAGGTTTGAGAGACAATTCTGGAAGCTAATTAAATTTTCACTTCCTTCATAAACCCTTCGTGCCAAGTAGGCTAAGGCATAATCCAGGCTCCTACTTCCCACCCCTTCCTGCCAAACAAAGCAGGTTCCTGCCAGTGACAGGGTGTGGCTGGTGGTGTTCTCGCTGCCCACAGTTGAAACACGCACATCCAAGGTTGCCATCCTCAGCTTTCCTTTTTCTGATCGATTGATTTGAAAGGTTTGGGTGCAGAAATGATCATATTTCCTATGTTTGCATTCCCTGACACCATCAAGCAAGTGTTCTTGGTAAGAGAGGGCCCAGGAATGGATTGGATACTCACGCATCTGGCTTTTTAAAATGCCCTTGCTATTCTGAGCTCTCAGAAAATCAAATACTTCAGGCCAGGCGCGGTGGCTCACGCCTTTAATCCCAGCACTTAGGGAGACCGAGGCAGGTGGATCACCTGTGGTCAAGAGTTCCAGACCAGCGTGGCCAACATTGTGAAACCCCATCTCTACTAAAAATACAAAAATTAGCTGGGCATAGTGGCACACACCTGTAATCCCAGCTATTCAGAAGGCTGAGGCAGGAGAATCGCTTGAACTTGGGAGGCAGAGGTTGCAGTGAGCCAAGATTGTGTCACTGCATTCCACTCTGGGCAACAGTAAGACTCTATCTCAAAAAAAGAAAAAAATGCTTTGTTAGTAATCGGGGCCCGAATTGTCAATGTCCTTTCCAGGTCCTAGGAAGATCTTTATGTGCACAAACACAGGGAAGCAGCTTTGTTGCAGAGGGCCCACCCCACCCACCAATGCCACCCAGGGCCCCAGGCCCCCGAGCCCCAGCCGTGCTCCCAGCCACAAGCATTTGGGCCTCTGTGAGCATCTAGCACAGAGAGAAATATCTATCAGAATCAACTTTTCTTCCTCTTTTTTAATAAGTATTGCCTGGTATATCAAACCCAATGTGCAGAATGATCCAATTTTACTATACAACACATGAAGACATACATACATAATATTAAAGTCTATACGTATTCCTCTCCAGAATGATCCTTGTAAAACTTGTCACTGCCTTGCTCGAAACCTTCCCTGATTTCCCATCTCAGACTAGACTCCAGCATATCTGCCCTGGCCCGAGGCCTCCAGGCTCAGGCCCAGGTGGCTGACAGGACACCATTGCCTGCCTGCTCCATCACAGGCCTCCTTGCTGTTCCTCAGATTCCCACTTCAGAGCCTGTGCCCTCCACCTGTAGCATTCCTCCCCAGGATCCTCATGCCCACACTTATTTGGGTCCCTGTACCAGTGTCACCCTCTCCAGGAGTGCCCCCTCACAGCAGCCCCAGCCCATAACACAGCCCCTGGCGTGATATAGTTACCTCATGGCTGGTGTCAACTCCCTGGGGAACCCTAAAGGCAAGCGAGGCAGCTACAATGTGGTCATTTTGTACACAGGGAAACTGAGGCACAAAGCGGTTAAGGCCTTTGCCCAGAGTCACTTGGGAGTGCAAGAATTCAAACTCCAGCCTCTGACCCAGAGTCTCTGCTCTTATCACTACCCTGTGCTGCCTGTGCCATGGGCTGAGTGAAGGTGTGTGTGAACGGGCCGTTTCATCCAAAACAAAGCATGCACGGGACGCAAAGCCACCACGTGACTCAACTTTATTGTACAACTTCTAAAGTGTGTCACTGTAAAATGTATAACTACATTTTATGGAAATACACCAAGGAAGCCAGAAAAGGAAATGTACCAAGTTGCTGTAGTGGTCATCTCTAGAGAGTGGGATTTTCCGGAGGTGTGTATTTCCTCTCTACACCTGTCTGTATTTTCCAAGTCTTCTACCTGGGCCAATATCAGAATGATAAAATGAAAGTGGTTCCTCTTCCCAAAAACATTCTGATGAGGGTACCAGCAGCCCCGAATCCTGTAAGAGCTCAGGGCCGGGGAGGGCAGGCACGAGGTGGACGACCCTTCTCCCTGAGCCTAACAGAGGTTTTCCTGCTGTCACCGTCCAGGACATCATCGAGGGGGGCAGCCTGCGTATCCCGCTCCAGGAACTGCACCAGATGATCCTGACTCCCATCAAGGCCTACACCTCCCCGAGCACCACCCCGGAGCCTCGCCGCCGGGAGCCCCAGGCCCCGCACCCGTCCTCACTGATGGGCTCCGAGAGCCAGAGCCCCGACGGCAAAGATGGGGCCACAGCCACCGGCGCCACAGCCACCCCCTCGGCTGGTGCCAGTGGCGGGCTCCAGCCGCACCAGCTGAGCAGCTGCGACGGGGAGCTGGCCGTTGCCCCCCTGCCGGAGGGGGACCTCCCTGGGCAGTTCACACGCGTCATGGGGAAAGGTAGAGCCCGATTCACCTATTTCTTTTTTTCTTCCCCGATACCACTAACCAGAGTGACAGTCTCCTGAGGGCTTCCCTGGATGCGGGATAAATTCCCTGTCCAAGTAGACATCATTAGCTGCATTTTACAGATAGGGAAAGTGCAGCTCAGACAGGTTAAGCCTTTGGGTTTGAACTGCAATCACCGTGACCCGCCGAGACCTCCTCTTAACCCTGGCTCCTTTCTCTCCAACTCCCTCAGACCAGGGGATGCCAGCCGTTTTACTACAGTGCTCATTATTGGACCCTTGTGGGAGGAAGGTGGGAAGGAGTCCGAAAAAAGATGATTTCAGGAACCAACCACTCACTCAGCTTCTCACTCTCTCCCTAAAGCAAAAGTGGCAGAAAATGAGTGACAAGCTGAAGGGGCACAGGTGGCCTTTAGCCAGAGCCAAAGATCTCCCTGTGTGGAAGGATGCCAGCCTTGGCAGTGGCCTCTCCTCACCACTGAAAGCGTTCTCAGATGCAGCCATGGTTTGGAGAATTCCTGGCATAGAACTCTTTTGTTCACTTTCTCCCATGTCTGCATTTATATTCTCTCTTCAGAGCTGGCCTGCCGTGCGAAATGCTCTAGTGCAAATAGCTTGTGTTTATTTAGCTTTTGCTCTGTAGCAGACACAGTACTCTGTGCTTTACCTATAGAGCTTGCTTAATCCCCAAGTTATCCCATTTTACAGAGGAGGAAACTGAGGCATGCAGGCTAATTAGGTCACCTGAGCTTACACAGCTGATGGCAGGGCTGGAATTTGAACCCTGCAGTCTCTCCATCACACACATGGTTACCACTGTGCCTGCTTATCAGCTCAAGATAGAACAAGGTTAAGTTTCATGTGATGGTGATAGAATCCAAACCTAAAGAGTCACGTGTCATCTGGCCCCTTCCTGTTACCTCCACAGCCCTTCCCACCTCCATTCTACACTCCAGACTTTCTATCTTTGAGTTCTGAAACGTTTGCATATTTTCTTGGCTTCTGAGCCTTTGTGCATACCTCCCCTCTGCCTAGAACCTAGGCCCCTACTAGTTGATACAAAGCCTTCATGTGAATTACAAGATGGCGCCCTGTCTGGGTTGACGCTGTACTGCTGGCACTCACCTTGGCATTCACTTGTGCAGTGCACAGCCTGCACATCCACATGCGACGGGCTTGCCTAGAACACTCTTGCCCTCCCCACATTCCCTTCACCTGGGTTATGCCTCATCCTCCTCCAGGTCTTACCGAAGTCCTCATAGGCTCCAGGAAGCCTGCTGATCCACTGGGCCAGGAGAGGTACCCCTTCTCACCTGCCCCATGTCCCCCTTGCCTTTCCTTGTCTTAGCCCAGTTCACACTGGATCGTACTCGTCTGTTTGCTTGACTGTATCTTCATTAGTCTGCAGCGCCGTCACACCACTGTTACTAGCCACTCAGTACCCTGCTTGTGGCACAGTGCTTAGAGTAGATGCCTCATAAGTAGGTGGTACAAAAATTGAGGGATGACACCAGTATCTAAAGTTAGGCCTTCCCACAGACCCTCCAAGCATACATGCTGGGTACACACTTGTCAAGGAGGGTGGAATCCACAGCCTGGTCCTTTGGGTGAGAGCTCCCCTTTCCACCCAGCCTACCCTCTGCCCTTTCGGGGGCAGACCCTTATTTCCACATCTTTGAAAATGTCCACCGTTAGAATGACTTATGCTTGATTGAGCGTCTCACAAGACATCCTGATTATTTTTTAAACGTGGTAATGCCACCACTTTTCCTTTGGAAGGGGAAAACCATTTTTGCTCTGTTATTGTCCAATGTTTCAGAGTGTTTTAAAAAACCAAGTTTGCAGTAAGAACAACCCCCACCCCTCCACCACCCACCTTAAGGCTTGTCCTAAAAAAAGACTTAAATTCATAGTAATCTGGTTGAGGAGATGACTCACAGCTTCCCTTGGAGCTTGATGGCCAGGGTGGGCCCTCACGCTCCCCCACCCACCACTTAGCTGTGTTGGATTAGAACAGATTTCCCCGGGTGAAGACACAGCTCTGCCAAGCCCAAGTGGAGGAGCTACTGAACACGCCGTGCACTGCCCTCCTTCCCAGGAGACCCACAGTGCCGAACACGCGGTGCACTGCCCTCCTTCCCAGGAGACCCACAGTGCCGAACACACGGTGCACTGCCTTCCTTCCCAGGAGACCCACACTGCCGAACACATGGTGCACTGCCTTCCTTCCCAGGAGACCCACACTGCCGAACACATGGTGCACTGCCCTCCTTCCCAGGAGACCCACAGTGCCGAACACGCGGTGCACTGCCCTCCTTCCCAGGAGACCCACACTGCCGAACACGCGGTGCACTGCCTTCCTTCCCCGGAGACCCACACTGCCGAACACGCGGTGCACTGCCCTCCTTCCCCGGAGACCCACACTGCTGTGGCACCGCGTCTTCATAGTCTAACTACGTTAAAGGAATTTGTAACCCCATTCACACTCAACATACTCAATTCAGATTCACAAACTGGTGGGAAGTGAAAAACCCCAAACCCGCCCCCCACCCCAATCCCTGCCATCCTCATTCCCAGGGATAGTCACTATTAAGTTTCGGGATATCCTTTCAGGAACTTCACATCACACGTAAGCACATGCATATTCACATTTACACACATGCAGGCCTTATTTACATTCTTTTCTACAGGTTGGTGGGTTTTTTAAAAATACTAGAGCCGGGCACGGTGGCTTATGCCTATAATCCTGGCCCTTTGGGAGGCTGAAGGGAGTTGCTGGAGCCCAGGAGTTCCAGACCAGTCTGGGCAACATAATGAGACCCTGTCTCTCAAAAACAAAGAATCAAATTTAAAAAGTATTACATACTTACAATATTTCAATCAACACAAATAGCACCATCTCATCATTTTTTAAAGGTGGCATACTAGTCCACTGTATGCATAAACTGTAGTTTATTTAACCAAGTCTCGATTCATAGGCAGTGAGGTGGTTTACAAGTTTTTGTTATTACAAACAATGTCACGCTGAAAGTCTACGTGCAAAGGCAAGAAATAAATGGGATTGTGTGACCGATCGCCCATGCAGGGTTAGGGACGGAAGAATCAAGTATGATGCCAGGTTTCAAGCTTGGTCTCCTTGAGTGTCAGACATTCTTATGCTCTGGCTGACTCCCTTTGTCCACCCATCTCCACCATGGCCCTGTAAACACGACCACGAAATTCGGGGCCTCGTCCCCTCTGAATGGGCCACACTAACATGGCCGTGAGAAACCCAGCGCGTGTGTGTACTCCGCCCGCAGACAAACTCTGCTGCATCCTAATTAGCACTGACTTGAGTGTGTAGGTGAGCCTGAGCTTGTGTGTGCATGAATGTGCATATCACTCTGAGAAAGCAACCCTCTGAGGAGTGAGTAGCAGGCCTCGTGCACATGTGCACACCCACATACCTCCCCGTCTGCAGGAGGTGCCAGCTCGTTCCTCCAAACACAAACGCCACTGCCTCTGCACCTGGTGAGGGGTGTGCACTCATTCATAAAATCATGGAGGCTGCTCTGTCTGACAGCGTCAGGGTCTTGGATGCTTTTGAAGCCCCTCAAACAGAGCCACTTTGAAAGACCGAGCTCAGGATGCCACTGTTCTCTGCTGTGTTCTTCCTCTCACAAAGTGTCTTATTGCAGAAGGCTTCACATAGAATGGCATGACTGGAAGTAATCCAAGGGGCGTCTCAAGGCAAGGGCTCTCATGGTGACCGAACCTTTAACTTCTGTGGAATGAGGAGCTCTTGGTCTTTTTTCTGAGCCTTACATAAAGCTGCAGACACACGTGCCTCTCAGAGTGTTGCTCCTGAAGGGAGATGAGAGGCAGGTCCCGGAGATTAGAAAGGGGTGCATTTTTCTAATTCATCTTTTCTTTTTAATTCACAGTGTGCACACAGCTCTTGGTCTCCAGACCTGATGAGGAAAATATAAGTTCCTATTTACAGCTCATAGACAAGTGTCTAATTCATGAGGTGAGTAGTGACGAGTTTACAAAACCTTTTTTTTTTTTTTTTTTTTTTTACTTAGAAATGATACTCAGAGTTTCTATGATGTGATCATTTTAGTCATTTTAGTCTCCAACCAAATTGTTTTTGAGTGGTAGATAATAGGTTGGGCAGAACTAGGCTATGGCAGCCTCAAACCCAAACACAGCTTGAACGTACTTCGGTGTCCAAAGATTCGCTGCTCTGATGTGCAGCGAATGCCTGTGACGCCTTCTGGCTGCAGAAGCGGTCCCCGGTGACCAAGCCTCGGAGGATGACACCGAGCGCTGCTGCCTCGCCCTGGGCACTTTCAAGTCTTCTTAAAATCTTGTGTTGAACTCTTGCCTTTTAGCTCAGGGAACTGGAGAGAGGAAGGGAGAAGGTGAGCACCTAACAGAATTAAGGAATGTGTATGTGCGTGTGTGTAGGCATGCGATTGTTGCGGGAATTGTATTTGCTGTACATCCTTTAGGAGGAGGCCTGAGGCAGGCTGCAGGTGAGGCTCCCGGACTCTCAGGCACAGTCGTCCTAGACAGAGTGAGGAAAACACCTGGGCATGGTGGGACTAGGCGGCTGTCTGCACTGGTGGCTCTCCCTGAGGGGCATGTTGGGAGAAGGCATCTCAGACCTAAAACTCCAGTGACCCCTTGGGGACCCCTCCCTCCCCACAAAGAGTTACAGAGACAAGCTCTAGACTACAGAAAACTTGGGACCAGATAAACCTAGGGTGGTGAAGACTTTTTGTAGGATCTTGATGTGAGAATAAGATGGCAAAGGGGGTGGTGGCTTATGCCTGTAATCCCAACACTCTGGGGGGCTGAGGTGGGAGGATCACTTGAATTGACAAGCTTGAGATGAGCCTGGGCAACATAGCAAGACCCTGTCACTACAAAAAAAAAAAAAAAAAAAAAAAAAAAAAAAAAAAAACCATAGCCAGGTGTAGTGGTGTACACCTGTAGTCCCAGCTACTTGGGAAGCCAAGGTGGGAGGACAGCTGGAGCCCAGGTGGCCAAGGCCACAGTGAACTCTGATCATATCACTGCACCCCAGCCAGAGCGACAGAGTAAAACTCGTGTCGGGCGAAAAAAAGACAGTAAAGGCCACAAGCCTCCTCACCTTTGCTGCAGTGGTAGCCAGTACCCCAGAAGTCCGGTGGGCTCCGGTGACGGGAGGTGCCCAGTGCAGCCGGGCCCCTTCTCCACTTCCCTCTCATGTCCTCACCCTCCCAGCCGCCCATGGGTCCTTGGCTGCTGAAGGTCTCATTTGGTCTCAGGGCCCTCCGCTGCTACCCACACTTCACATACAAGGTACAGTCCCCTCTGGGGTTCCATCCCGCTCCCCCTTCCCCACTACCCCAAACCCTCATTTTTGCGGTTTCTCCTCTTGGCCGCATGGATTCTTATGTGCCCAGGCAGCTCTCACCAAAGCTGTTAGTGTGACGACAGTGACCAGCTGCTCAGGTTGGGGGCTGAGGCATGCCACCCTCTGAAATGTCCAACTATACCAAAGGACTAGACTTCTCACTGGAAAAAAAAGTTTCTTCCCTCTCTAGTGGCTTCCCCAGAGCACCCAGGCAGGGTCTGAAGCTTGTCCTGCAGGCTTATTCGTGTCTTTGTTTTAGGGACAAGGCCACTCCCACAAGCCTTGGCTAATCCTTTCCTATTTCCAGTCCTGACACGGGACTCGTTTTGGCCAGGAAAAAGCCACGAAGGAAGAGAAGGCAAGAACACAGGGAAGAATGTTACAGCTCATTTATTCCATAGATCCTGACGGAGCACCTGGGCCCTGTCCCCAATTAGGCAGGTTACAGCAGTGGGAGAAGGGGTGAGATGGAAAGAAACAGGCCATCCCAGCCGTGATGAGAAAGCTTCTGATAAGGTCATCCCCTAGAGCCAGAACAGGGCATTTCGGTGGAGGAGTCCTCTGCACACTGAGACCTGAAAGGCAAGCAGGGGTCCTGGTGATAGAGACTCAGATCGTAAGGAGGCAGACGAGAGCAGTGTCTGCAGGGCTCTGTGTTTTGTTGGGAAGTAGGACATTTGTGGGTGGGCTGGGGCAGACGGAACGGGGAAGATTTCAGCTTCTGATTAAAGCAAACCAGAGCTCTGCTTCCCCTCCCACACCCACTCTCAGCATTGATACCGGAGGACAAGGTACCGTCTACCTTGCCTCAAGACAGCTGAGCCCATGAGATAGAAATAATGAGTCTTCCAGCTGCCTGTGCCACACAGTCCTCAGGCGTCCTAATTGTCCCTCGCCAGGCCTGAAACTTTGGCCCGATGCTTCTCGCTTTCCTGCCATCTTGCGTGTCCTCCCTGGGTACCCTGGCTCTGGTTTTGTTTTTTTCCCCTTCACCCCTGTGCCACCCCAAGTGACAAAGATGGCACTGGGTGGTCTCGTCTCCTCTGATTGCACAGAGGGGCCTCTTGTGACTGTGGGTCCCGGGCAGGCAGGAGCTGGCGAGGTGTCTGCGTGCTAAGTTCATGTCAGGATGGAGGGGACTGCGTGCTGCTTTGGAAGGGAAAATGTTGTTCAGGGCTTTTTATGATTTTAGTTAGAGAGGAAAAGCGTCTGAATAATTTTCCGCAGCGCCAGTTATTCTATGTGGGCAGAACACGCCCTGCCTGTGAGGCCCGTGGAGGCGCACAGCCTCCATCCTGGAAGAAGGTTCGCCCGGGCACAGGGAGACAGGACGCTCTTTCACAGTCTGGACATGCTGTTCCTTAGCTGGCTGGGAGCAGGGAAGGTATTGACTGAGCCAGGACACCTCCCTTCCTCCCTGGGATGGAGGGACCGAGTCCCCAGAGTCATGAAAGGAAGGATAGGAAAGTTCTGAATTTTACTTCTGAGACCAGTCACTTTGACTCCTGAATTATCCCAGGCCTCTGGACACTTCACTGTGTCTTGAGGTGGCTCCGGGAAGGTGGGCTCTTGCCTCTCTCTGAGCCTTCTCATCCAGCCACATACACTGGGACACCATAGCCATCTTCCTCCAGACAGATGCCCTGGTCTGGGCCTGAGGGGGCCAGGACTCTAGAATGGTGACTCGGGTGCCTGACCAGTTGCTGAGCATGAAGCCCCTTCCCTTCCCCTCCAGTCCTCTCGGGAAGCTGCTCCCCAGCCCAGCCTGAGGCTGCCAGTGAAGGGGGCTGCGGTGAGATACTGGGCGTCGTAGCCAGTGCGGATCCCCCGAAACTGAGCACTCCCCTGTCAGCCAGGAATCAGTATTCAGAGACCCATGGAGGCAGCCACGACCTAGTGCCACACCTCCCAGCTGAGAACTGGCCCCGGCTCTCACTCACCTCCTCTGCTCAGGGCTGGCTCCCATCTGCAGCCCTGAGGAAAGGAGCCTGCTGCCCACTGAGGCACTCAGGGAATGCGCTCACCTTCCCGTGCAGGCATCAACATTCCCACCTTCTTGGATGCTGCTTGCCACCCTGGAAGATGTCATGTCTGGACTGTCTTAGGAAGCACATCCACGAAATGAGCCACTTACTCCCTTGCCACTTGGAAACTCAGGCCGGTTGTCCTTCAGGCTGGCTCCAGACTAGCTGAGTATTGTAGTTCAGAGACCTTGAAGTCATTTGCTGTGTGCCATTGTTGGAGCTCAGGGTCACTGTTGAGTACCTAATGTGATGAACAGCTGTATACCACCCCCAAACGGCCCGTCTCTGCAATCCGAAACAAAACCCCACTGTGATGTCTTCGAGTGGCATCTATTGAACCATTATTAAGAGTGAGGCACATTCCAGGTATTCTAAGTGCTTTTCATGTGTTACTTCATTCTCACAACATCCTTTTGAGGGAGATATCATTATCCTCAGTTTCTAGAAGGTACTGAGTCTTGGGCAGAGGGACAGGCATAAAGGCGTGGAGGGATTCAAGGCCTGCCTGTCGGCATCCAGAGCATTCCTCTGGCCCACACCTCCCCTCCCCATGTCACCCTGACCAGCATGCCCACATCTTGTGTCCTGAATAAGCCAGTCAGAAGCAGAAATGATCCCCTCTGTGTTAGTCCAGCAGAAACACTTGCCTTTTGCCCAGTTTCAGAGGGACTCATGGAGCGGGACATGCAGGGAGCATCCATGACCAGTGAGAGGGACTGTGGAGGACAGCCACATCCTTGCCTCCTGGCCCTCCCTGATGCATATTCTTAGTGGCATCTGGCTAAGGTCACCCTGGAAGAGGGGTTTGTAAGTCCTCGATGACGTTTCTGCCACAGGATTAACATCCTGCCTTTGTCCACAGAGCTCTCCTGGTGTTGAGGTCCTTAAAGATGAAGCATCGTGGAAAGAAAATTGAGCTATTACTTTTTTTCTCCATTTAAGGAATCTGTTTGCTTTATGGAAACTAGTCATTTAGTCTGTTACTAATATTTTATTGCTACTTAAAGGAATTCATGCCTTATTGACAAAACTACTTGAGAATCTTTTCTCCATCCTTGTTACTGCAAATCAGTCGAATCGCCTGGATTTCCCACGGCACGTATGCTGAGTCACAGTTCTAGGCACTTGGCAGGGGATCCACATGTGACGTGGGCCCTCACCAACTAGAACGCCTCGTGCTCATGCTCTGCCTGCAGCAGAATTACCAGGGCACTTGCTACAAACACAAACTCTCTAGACACCCCTTCAGATCTAGTAAATCAGGCTCTGGACATGTGGAAGGGGGCCTGGGTAACTGAACTTTGATTGTCCCCTTGAGTGATTCTGATGTATCATCAATCTGAGAGTCCCTGCCATGGAGACTCCTGACCCACGTAAAGTCCTTTCCAAGTCTGTGGCAAGCACAAAGGCTAAACATAAAAGGAAATATAACATAGATAAGAATTTGTTACAGGGCAATAGGCAAAACACACACACCAGTTTTACTAGAAAAGACCTGAGAAGCCATCAGACATCCCCATTTTCCTAAACTTTAGAGAAGGTTTAAGTCAGGACTGGCACACTAGGATTTTTATAAGTCAAGGGACCCATGAACTGGAGATACCTCAGCAAAGCCCTGAAACGGAGAATATAGTCCGTTCTCTGACACCCTGCAGACCACTCTAGGGTGATGACACACGTCAAGCCGATTGATTTTGGGAGTGGTTGAGAATTTTCATTGATTATGAAAATGCGGGGGGGGGCTGCAAAAGCCAGAATACTCAACAATCAATTTTGCAATTCATTCTTTGTTAATAGAGTCTGGAGTAGAGTCAGGAGGGAGGGGGAAGCTGGGTACGGATCTGCCAGAAATGTAACCAAAAATAAGGGTTGTCAACAGCTTGATGCACGTATCTTACCAAGCACCACCGTCAGATAACTTCAATTTTCAGAATAGGCAGCTCCCAAATTAGACTGACTACTGTTTGGATGGACCAGGTTAGAAACAGGTGAAGCAGCAGGAACGGCAGAGACTCCAATGTTTTCCTTTATTAATTGCATGTTTCTCCCTCTAATGCCAGGCTGCGTCACCCATTTAAAAGTCCCTGTTTGTTTTTGCAGGCATTTACAGAGACACAGAAAAAAAGACTGTTGTCATGGAAACAGCAGGTGCAGAAGCTCTTTCGGTCTTTCCCTCGGAAAACCCTTCTAGACATATCAGGATATCGACAGCAAAGAAAGTATGTTGGGATTTCATTCTTTGTAATGCATGGTGGTTCCCCTGGCACCTCAGTTCCTGGGGCTGAAGTATGGAAGGGCACCATTCCTTGTTCACGAAAATGCCCTGTGGCGAGTTCCAAATCTGTGGCTTCCACAGGTGGGGTTGGGAAGAGGCTGAGAGCGCCAGCAGTCCCAGAGGAAGAGGTGAATGTGAGCTTTTGTAACTTAATTTGCATGGTCAAGATGATGGTAACAGTCCGGATGGGTATCAGAGGGGAGGGTGGGTATGATTTCACGAATGCAGGAAAACACAGGATGGCTTACCCTCAAAAGGGGGATCTGAAAGAACAAAAAGGGGTTGTTCTATCTGTACCTTAAGTGGTAGTGTAAATTTTTTTCCTCCCTTCTAGCTGTAGACAAGCTAATTATAGTCGGTGGCAGGGTGAAGAGCCCAGCGCTAGGCTATTTTGGTCTGCAGTCTCATAGTGGAGCAGTACAATTCTTGATTTTTTTCATAGTACTTCAGCTTCTTGCATACAGTTAAAAATAAGCCTGGTTGTGCTTTAGAACCCATTACCTTAATATAGTTTTAAACTGAGGAATCCAATTGCATATTAAGGATGAACTGGAGTGATAATTTGCAGGAGAAATTCAGGGTAGAGCAAGGGTTGAGGTAAGCCTTAAACAATGATAGGAGATTGTTGGGACATAAGAGAATGAGAAGGTAAACATCCTGAAAAATTAACATTCTGTTTTACGTTTTTAAAACATGAGCAGATAATTTCCGCCCTTGCACCTGAAAGGCTCTGAATTCATTTCATTTCTCGGTGCATGTATAGCAGCTGTCTGCCTGTCGTGTTAAAATTGTGGGCATTTATTTGCATAAGTGTGTCTTAAAACATCACGGTTTTGTATTTAAGGGAGATAAGGCCAGTTGGAGTTTGGGAAAAGACTTCATGAAAGATTAATTTTAAAACCTAAGTGTGATTACATTCCAGTATGTATAACGCTTATTTATTAAACAAACATTTATTTAGCACTTACATATACCAAGTGGTATCCAAGCACTTTAAGAATATTAATACGTTTAATCCTCGTGACAAGCATGTGAGGTAGAGCTGCTGTTGTTAACCCCAATTTACAGACGAGTTTGCAGGCAGAGGCATCGGGGATTTGAACCAGACAGGCTGGCACCAGCTCCAGCTGCATGCTCTTAACCTTATGGAAGCCAGGCAACTCTCCTGGTCTCAGGCTGATGAGCGGAAAAGATGGTTCAGGCAAAGTGACACTCTTCAGGACCAGTTCCCTAGCCCCAGGCCCTCTGGGGTTGCCAACCCTGGTGGGTTAGACTAGATTCCCTCTTTGCCCTGAGGGTTCCTGACGGCCCAGATGAAAGGCAAGGTCTTTCTCGGCCTCCTGCCCTGGGGCCTACCCCGATCCCTACCCCGATCCCAAGTGGCTTTTCTTTTTTTTTTTTTTTTTTTTTTTTTTTGAGACGGAGTTTCGCTCGTTACCCAGGCTGGAGTGAGTGCAATGGTGCGATCTCGGCTCACCGCAACCCCTGCCTCCTGGGTTCAGGCGATTCTCCTGCCTCAGCCTCCTGAGTAGCTGGGATTACAGGCACGCGCCACCATGCCCAGCTAATTTTTTTGTATTTTTAGTAGAGACGGGGTTTCACCTTGTTGACCAGGATGGTCTTGATCTCTTGACCTCGTGATCCACCCGCCTCAGCCTCCCAAAATGCTGGGATTACAGGCTTGAGCCACCGCACCCGGCCCAAGTGGCTTTTCTTAAGAGCAGTAATACTTTTCCCAGGTGAAGGGAAAAGGTTCCAGACTCCTCATGAAACACCAGGCCCTTGAGAGACAAGTTCCAAGAGGAAGGAGGCATTCAGAGGTTGGAGATGAAGATGGGGCTTTCAAGCTCTTTGCTCCTCCTCCAGATGTCCCACCCTGGCCTCTGTCAGCCCTGTGCTGTCATTGGTCCACATCCGAGAGCCTTCGGGAGGTGGAGCAGGGCATGAACTTTGACCTCTCCAGGGTGTTAGTAACTAACACTTGGATGGGGCTAGCCTGAGGTTTGCCAGGTAGGAATCCTAAGGGATATCTTTTCATTCATTAGCTGTTAGTGAATTGCAACTGGATGTTGTGAAAAGGCTAGAAGATGTTTTATACTCATAGGTATTTCCTCTGGGATCTTTTTGTGCTATTAATTTGCTTTGAAGACCTATTTCTCTGATAATACAAAGGTAACTGCAGCCCAGCCCCTGCTTGAATTATCACAAATCCCCAATTAATTGGTTCTTATGAATGTTACTTTATCAAAGACTTTTCATGCATTTCCACATTTCAGTGTAATGAAATCAGATTTAGAAAGGTAAGGCAACAGAATGAGAAGGGAAAATTTACTTTTGTGACTTTGTTCTCTCCCCAGAAAGCATGATGATTTCATTAAGCCTAGCAACCTTAAGTTACCCACATTACCCAAGCATTCACTCTGGTTGCCGGCAGCGGCAACTCTCCGCAAAGCTAGCTCTGTAATAACCAAAGAAGGGTCCCCACTATCAGGAGAAAGATGGCCTAGCCAAATTCTCCCCCCATGATGTCCTACGCTCAGCACCCCCAACAGCCAAGTCCCAACTCTACAAGTCCCTGGATCCCTCCTTTCTCCAGTGACTCAGTATCCCATAACAGAGTCCTCTGCCCGCATTATATTGCTTATGAGTATAAAACAGTCTTGCCTTCCTGGAAGCACAAATCATTTTAGCATCGCTCATTGACTCTGTATTTTGCATATGAAATAACTTTTTAAAAATCCAACCAAAAAGGAAAGTGAGAAAACGCTATCCACACTAAATAAGGAAAAATCGTAGCAGAATACTGAATCATCTACCAGGTGGCCAAAATCCTGACTTCAGAACCCCAAGGACTAGTTTTCCTAGTTAACAACAACAAAACCACGTATCGTCCTTGTCTCCCCGTCACATAGTCAGGTTGACCTTCCTCCAAAGGAGGTCTCTCGTATGTGAAATGTATTGTACCCCTCCTGGCCCCGAGTTCTTTCAGACCAAAAAAACTTAAACCTTAGTAAAAATAAAAATGAAATCTTTTAAAGGGAAACATGGGAGGAAAAAAGGAAGAAAGGCCAAGATAAAGATCCCAAGAACCTGTGAGTGTCCTCCTCACCACATTTCGATGAGCTTGTGACCAGAATCTAGAACTCTTTCCTTGGCTGCAAAAGCCTGGAAGTAGGAAGGTACAAGCCCGGAATTCTCCTTGCTGCCCCTTTTCCCCCTAGGAAATTTAGGAATTCCGGGGAGAAGAGAAACGTTTTCTGAGATCCGCACTGCTGGCTCAGTTGCCCGTCCCGCTACACACAGGCACAGCTCTCTTTCTCAGGAAATGACTGTTCCGTAGGCCCCCATCACCCTCAACTGGTTAAACTACGTCAGCCCTGCTTCCCGGAGTCTCCCCACAGGCTTGGTACAAACCTCTCCTGTGTCGCTGAGAAAGTAAATCTCTTCCATCTTGTGGCCACTGGAGGTAAAGCATTTCAACTTGAACATCGGTGAATGACTAAAGCTGACTCTTCTTGGAAAGAATGTGCTGGTTCCTGAAACCCTGCCGGCTGCTGTGTAACCTCCCGGACCTGAGGCGTGTTGGAGAGGATGCATTCTTCAGTGCTGAGGTCACCCAACCCAACAGGAGCGCTGGCATCTGCATGTGATACTAGGGGCTCTGGCAGCCTCTCTGCACGGACCCAGGAGAAGCATGGACCTGCCCTGGTTCTTAGGCGGCTCGCTCTGCGGGGAGGGCCTGTGGAGTGAAGGCAGCCTGTGTCCTCCACCCAGAACGCTTGCAGACATCATCTCCGTCCTTAGATCCCTAGCCCCATGGGTGGCATCGGCTCTCCTGTTTGAGGATGCATCATGATGGCAGAGACTCATTGATTCATTTATCCACCTGCATTCCCTGTGAAGGAGCTGATGCAGGCACTCAACATGCAGGAGTGATGAGGACAGACATGAGCTTACATCCCAGTGGGCCTTACAGGCTTCTCCAAGTCCGCCACGCAGACAGGCCGAGCAGGAATCAAGGATAGGATAAAAGAAAGGAGCACTGGGACAGGAGTCAGACCCGGTTCCGACCCTGGCTCTGCTGTTTTCTTGCTACGTGGCCTTTCTTGCTATGTGGCATGTGAGTGTCAAGACCTGTGTCCTCATCTGCAGTAGCATGGGTTGGAGAAGATGCAGCAGCGAGGCAGGAGGCGGCAGAGGAACCTGCTGTGCCTGTGTGCCAGTGCTGCCCCCCGCTGGCTGTGTAACCTGTGCACAAGGATTACACACTGCTTTACTTCTCCAGCTAGAAACGAGAGAACACCTATTTTATAGGGTTGTTGGAAGGATCGAAAAATAATGTCGAAGTCCCAGGAAGCTGCATGTGATATATCCTCTCAGATGTTAGCTGCTGTTTTAAGTATAGCCATCCGCTGGCACAGAGCTCCCTGTAGGCCTCACAACTGTTAAAATGTGAGCAGAGGCAGGGCATGGTGGTTCACACCCATAATCCCAGCACTTTGGGAGGCTGAGGCAGGAGGATCACTTGAACTCAGGAGTTCAAGACCAGTAGGGGCAACATGGTTGACCCTGTCTCCAAAATGTAAAAATTTGTGGTCCCAGCTACTCAAAAGGCTGAGTTGGGAGGATTGCTTGAGCCTGAAAAGCCGAGACCGGCCTGGGCAACATAGTGAGACTCCAACCCTAACAAAAAAAATTAACTGGGCATGGTGGTGCATGCCTGTAGTCTCAGCTACTATGAAGGCTGAGGTGGGAGGATCACCTGAACCCAGGAGGTCAAGGCTCAGTGAACTAAGATCTCACTGTTGCACTCCAGCCTGGGTGACAGAGTGAGACCCTGTCTCAAAAAAAAAAAAAAGTGAGGAGACCCCCCCCCCGCCCAAGGCGCCAACCCACTGGAGACCTGGGGCTTGAAAGGGGCTGAATAATAACCGATGCTCTCTCTCTTCTCTCTTGGCTCTCACAGTCGAGGCTTCGGGCAGTCCAACTCCCTCCCGACAGCTGGCTCTGTGGGCGGCGGCATGGGGAGACGGAACCCACGCCAGTACCAGATCCCCTCTCGGAACGTCCCGTCCGCCCGCCTGGGCCTCTTGGGCACCAGTGGATTCGTCAGTTCCAACCAGCGCAACACCACAGCCGCCCCCACCATCATGAAACAAGGAAGACAGGTTTGTTCTGCTCCAGGGGAGGAGGAGGATGGCCAGGCTCAAGGCCTGAGGCTGCAGACTTACCCCCAGGTGACCCCAGGGTGGGGACAGAGGCCAAGGGGGACCGTGCTGGGGGCAGTTGCTGCCACATCTCACAGGTAACACCATTGTTTGCATTGTTCTCTAGGAGACAAAGTAATCCCATGGCTGTGCTTGGGATGCCCAAAGGACCACTTTAACCTTGGGGACCCTCCACACGAGAACTTTTAGAAAGAAAAGCAAGACCTATTTCTTCTTTGCCCCATGCTTGACCTTCTACCACCCAAATGTGGGTTGCAGAAGAGCCTGGGCCCTTAGAGAGCTTTCCTTGCCTTTTTATCCTTGGGAAAGAGCTCCCTAGTCTTGGTCCCGGCTCTGGTGGCGCATCCGCAGGACGAAGTCTGCGAGAGGGTGCCGGGGGAGAGTTAACACAGTCTCAGGCTGTGCAGTTTACAGCTGACCTCTCTGGCCCGTGGCTCATACCTTTCTAGCCCCAGGCCCCACCCCTGTCCAGTGCCTTCCTAATCCCCACCCACAGAGCGTCAAGAAGCGTGCCCACAGCTTCTCGAAGCTCTGTGGGTGGGGATAAGGATCGGAGGGATCCAAGTAGGTCTGAGTTTCTGGGGTCTCAGGAGAAACTAAGGGATGACAGATCAGCTTAAAAACAGGAAAAGGGCTCCAGGCAAGATGGGCAGGATTCGCTCCCCAGGTCCCAGACCATTGTTCCCAGCCCCCAGATCAGTTCACGACGACGTCACTGCTGGGACACAGAAGCTGAGTTGTGCCAGCTCACTGCCAGCTGAGAGGTTCTTTTCTTTCTTCCTCGCTTTGGAGTACATTGTAAGAATCTCAAAAAAAAAAAATGAGAGCCCAGAAATAGTTTGTGTTCTTCGTTGCGTATATTTATAGAACTCCCCCATTTCCTAGAAAAGTGGCAGGCAAAAAGCAAAAGCAACAAATGGGATCAAAAGAGTTGTGGAGATAGGGAGAGAGGTGTCCAGATTAAGCTGAGGCTTACAGCAAGGCCAGGGAAGAGAAATTACAGTGAATGGAATCTAAACCCTCTCTATAAATACGCAGATGCTAGCGCTGGCCCACACCCCCTTTTCTAGAAGTTAGCAGAGTTCTCCTGGGATCTTTGCCTCCCAAATTCTTGCGGGGGGTGGGGCGCGCAGGGAGGTGGTGGCTGGACTAACAAGTTCCCTTTTGCTTTTCTCACTAGAACCTGTGGTTTGCCAACCCTGGGGGCAGCAATAGCATGCCAAGCCGCACCCACAGCTCGGTCCAGAGGACCCGCTCGCTGCCCGTACACACTTCCCCGCAGAACATGCTGATGTTCCAGCAGCCAGGTAGGGCCCCGCGCTTTGTCTCCCCTTGATACAGGGGAGGCTAGGATGCCAAAATAGATGCCCCGGCGAACCCAGCCAGAAAGTGCTTAGCCGCGACTGTCACTGTGCATTCTTTGGAGCTTATAGAAGCCTTTCCTTTTTTAAACTGTGCCTTGCCAGCATGAATAGCGGCGGCTTGGCCGAGAGCCAGCACGTGGAGCCCCAGAGTTGGTTGCAATCTGATGGGGCTATTTTTGATACTAGTCATATTTCTAGATTGATTAAACCAGAGATAGCACAAGAGGGCTTTGGTGGTGGGGAGGTGGGAGGGCGCCTGTGTAGTGCGTGTGGAAAGGGAAAGTGAGAGTGAGACAGCAAAAGAGAAAACTGTTGATGCTGAGACCTTCCCCCTGGTTTGGGCTTTTCTTGCAAAGTGATGACTATCGCACCAGCCATCTTTACTTGGTTAAAGAGCAACTTGGCACACTTCAAGTCAATTTCAGCTTTCACCATGCTTCCTAAAACAGAGTGGTTGGAATTATGCACAGCTAAGGAATACTTGAAGCCTTTCTCTATGCAGGCAGTGATCTTGTAGACCCCAAGAGTAATACAGAGCCACGCGGGTATGTACTGCACCTATTGGGATAGACCCACCCCCACCCCCACTGCCCCAAGACAGGCAAACCTGAAATGTGTTGTACCTGTAGGCAAACACCCTGGACAGTGGAAACGCTCTGTCTAGTCAGTCCTATCTGTAGCAGTTTAAGGAAGGGAAGTGTCGCTATGGCCTGGAATAGGCAAGGAAGCTTCTTGGAATTGGAGCTGAGCTTCAGAGCACAGCAGAGAGTGGAGAGAGGGAAGGCAGAATTACAAGCAGAAGGAACCAGGGAGCAAGACTGCAAAGGAACAGAATGCTACAGCATGGCCTCGAAGTATCTGGCTGAGGTCTCAGAGAGTGGACCCAGGGAGCTGTAAAGATTATGGCCTGTGGTGGGGGACTTTGAATCCAAGGCTGAGGAGCTTGGCCTCTGGCCAGTCTCCCCAGGGGGATTCCTCCATGTGGGGGATTCCGAGTGTAAGTCAAGCAGGAGTGTGCAGGGTGGGTGGACGGGAGGAGGAGGAGAGGACCCACCTTGGGGAATGGCTTATCGGGGAGGGGGAGCGGCAACCACCCGGTGCAGAGGCCTGCTCACGTGACTTCTTACATGATAAAACTCCTGTTTGCTCACTTGTGTTTTAAAGCTCCTTTTCTCCGTTTCTATACACTTCGCTATTTTTCTTCCTGGAAAGAACCATGATAAAATGTTGGGGTTGTAAAGGCTTTCTCCCGGAGTCTTTTCATCCCATCCTCTGTTTTCATGCAGAATCAGGTATAACCCATTCCCAATCAAAGAGAACCTGGACAAGACTTGAAGACGTCCTGGGCACGAGGAGATGTGGCACCTTGAATGGGTCTTTCACCCTGGCCTCAGTCCCTGGACTACTGTCTGTCTCACCAGCAGAGTGACCGCTCTCTTCCAACGCTTTATGCCTTTCTCAAGGCCTCCTTGATTTTTTCCTTCCTGCCACTCTTGGGAAAGTTCTCAGCCTTCCTCTCTGTTCTTACTGTATCTTCGTGAGCTTTCCCCATCTTACTTGGGAAGACTAGGTCCCCACAATCCCCTTTCTAAGAGCTGGGCTGTCCCTGAGCACCTTGGGTTTGTCGATAGAATCCTCCGCCTATACCTTTGCTTCCTTCCACTGTTCCACAGCAGAACCAAGAGGCTGGCAACTATGAGCCTAAGACCATTTCCACTCTTCATAGGAAGCCTCTTGTTCCCGTGGTTAAAGAATCAAACAATACAGAAGGGCCTGTGAGCAAAAGTGACTGTCTCTCTCCCCGCCCCTTCCTAGCCCACAGGTGCAACCCCTTATAGCAGTTTGTTTTCCGTTTTCTCCCCAGGTAGTTACCTGCAAGTCTGTAAATAAAATGCTTCTCAGGCTGGACGCAGTGGCTTACGCCTGTAATCCCAGCACTTTGGGAGGCCAAGGCGAACAGATCACAAGGTCAGGGGTTCGAAACCAGCCTGGCCAACATGGTGAAACCCCATCTCTACTAAAAATACAAAAATTAGCTGGGTGTGGTGGCAGGCGCCTTAGTCCCAGCTGCTCAGGAGGCTAAGGCAGGAGAATCGCTTGAACCTGGGAGGTAGAGGCTGCAGTGAACTGAGATCACCCCACGGCACTCCAGCCTGGGTAATAGAATGAGACTCTGTTTCATAACACTACTTACGATAATATGCTTCGCATACTGGACTTAGAGCTCTGGAACCCTTCAAGTGTTGTTTTTTGTTTTTGTTTTGAGATGGAGTCTCGCTCTGTCACCAGGCTAGAGTGCATTGGCGTGATCTCAGCTCATTGCAACCTCTGCCTCCTGGGTTCAGGCAATTCTCCTGCCTCAGCCTCCCGAGTAGCTGGGATTGTAGGTGCACGCCACCATGCCCAGCTAATTTTTGTATTTTTAGTGGAGACGGGGTTTCACCATGTTGGCCAGGATAGTCTCAATCTCTTGACCTCGTGATCTCTTAATCTCTAGAATATTACAAACCCACTTCCGGCAAGGCCTTAAAGAGCCTCACACGGTATTTTTAATAACAGCCAAAGCACAGGGAAAAGCCCACTCTAAATTTTCTAGTTGCAAATAAACCACTGAGTGCTCGACAGGAGCTACTCCTAAGCCCTGCACAGCACGCTCAGCACCATGCTAGGTGGCTCTTCCAGGACGTGCCTACAGGGCAAGGCAAGGCAGGGCCTGGCCAGGACCCATGATCCCTTACTGAAGGGAAGGAGGCTGCAGAAGGTCCCTGCTTAAGGGCACGGGGTTGCGGTTCCTCAGGCCTTGCCAAGGGTTCCAGCTGCATCCCCTGCCCTTTGCAATCAAAGGCCGGTTGTCAAGACCACAGGTTACTGGAGTGATTTTTCCTTCCTCCCGAGGAGGCAGCCTCCCACCTAGGAACAACACCTCTAACCTTGAAGTGGGTCCGATTGAAAGCTCATCCTAGAGTCCGGGTCCTCATCCTTGAGTCGGAGCCTCTTCTGCAGATGGGCCTTTCCATACGAAACCGCACAAGCTCGTTCACTATGGAGACTTTGGGGCTTGTGGCCAGGCGTTAAAACTAGGACAGCAAACATCAGGAAGTCAGAAAGTGGCTTTCATCTTTATACAAACAGGAGTCAAAATGAAATTGAGATGTGTAGCCAACCCCAAACGTAAATACTCAGAAAACTGTTATTATATGATGTTTTCCTCCTGGCTGTTAGATGTCATCAGAGAATTCATTGTAAACTGGGCAAATCTTGAAGACTACAATGCATTTGAAGGATGCTTTGATTCTGTAAACCTAAAACAACTCTATTGATGGGAGACTTTAAATGTCCCATACAGAGAAGACAGAGGACTAGAACCCAGCTCCAAACTGAGGATCAATTTATCAGTCACCTTGCTCGGTTTACAGGACTCTTCCCTCGTTCCTGGTTCTACACAATTCATGGGCAATTGGAGGTTCCTCAGGAGTGGTGGTTCGTGTTATTCCCACATGGACAAGCTTTATTGTTTTTTTTTTCTTTTTTGAGACAGAGTCTTACTCTGTTGCCTGGGCTGGAGTGCAGTGGCGCAATCTCAACTCACTGCAACCTCCACCTCCACGTGGACAAGTTTTAGCTCTTTCCTGGGACCAGTTAGGAGAGCCTTCAAGTGGCGATGAGTAAGAAACACTACGAGGTGTAATACACTCACCAGGAAGGTGACGTGAACTCGAAACAAGTGTGGCGCCTGTGACAATGATCACGCTTCTCATGGAGGCAGGGTGTTTTTCCAACTCGGTAACTGGTTTGGAAGTTGCTTGAAGAGGAATCTTTTATTTTGGAAGCAACGAATTTCTACTGCCCTGGGCTCAGTCGTCCTTAGGATCCAGTCGGAGAGGATCTTGCAGTGGCTGTGGCTCGACAGTAGGAGATCATGAAGGTTCTTTACCCCCCTGGAGGACCTAACAGCAAAGGGCAGGGAACTCCACAGCAGACTTCAAAGGAAACCCTTCAGAAGGGTAGGCTGCACAGCCTTCTGGAAATCTCATCCTTCTCTTGCCAGAGTGACATGCAAACTACCCTTGGTAATGAACCACCTGGATGTGAGCTGGGTACAGTGGCGCCTCACACAGCAGCATTTCATGGTGTGACTTACCTGTCCGCCACAGCAAACCTCCCCTAAGTACCAGCTCACAGTTGGGATTCTTCCACCATAAGAACACTGCGTATAACTGGGAGCACAGTGCTCTAGGCTGTCATTGTTCATTTCCATCCAGAGAACTGCCTTTAGAAAGAAGAGAGAGAGACAGTTATTGGTGCACTGGGTGCATTAGGGAGTGGAAGGGACTGCCATGCAGAGGCAGACACCAGAACAGGGACCCACTTACAGTACTGGATCAATATTTCCTCCATGTCTCCTCATAAGCCAAGGCAGACTTCCCTGCTCAGGACTGGCAGACAGCAGGTAGGGAGACCGATGAGTCAATCAAGTCTGTCACAGCCAAGAACCCAGCTGGGCCCATGGCCCCTTCCTCTGAGCACCAACTCGAGGCAAGATGGTACAACGTCATCTTGGACCGTGTTGTACCCATCACTTTTTGTGAAAGCGCTGGTCCCAGAGCACCTCCACAGGCACCGACCTTCTGCAGGCTCAGGAATGTCAGGAGGCCACCAGCGGAGAGGGGCATTCCCATAGCCGACTCAGGGGTGCCATTGATTACTCACGCCCTCCGCGGCTGTCTGCGATCCTCAGCTTCCCTGCCTGGGCCATCTCTTTCCCTTTTGTTACCATCCTCCCCCTTTCTTCTTAGCTCCCCCGCCTTCCTTCCTTCTTTACTCATCTCATCACAGCGGTGCACGCGCACTTCTCTGTCCCTTTTTGTCTTCCCTGCTTTCTCTGCTCCTGTCAACCCTGCTCCCCAGTGACCCAGGCTCCACACCTGTCTAGTTATCCAAAAGAGCTGCCTCAGCTGTCATTGGCAAAATGGGAATCTATAGATTTTTCCTGGCATGCTCCAGCCTGTTTCTTATTCTAAAGTCCCAAAGAAATTGGCTCCTTACCCTCAGTGCCTTGGAGAAAGAGCAGTGCGGAATTGCACCGTGGGTGCCACGCACACGAGACCCAGCGGGGACGGACGGTCACCGCCAAGGACAAGCCCTGTGGGCTCCTCGGGTGGACGCTGTAGCAACACCTCATCAGGGATGGGTAGCATTCTCTTCCAGAATCTTCTTGACCCTGGGCTTGAGCACAGGACTACCCCGTACATGTGGGACTTCTGGAAAGCTACAAAGTCTCAAGTCAGCCTTGACCTTGGTTATCCTTACTGAATACTGGAATGGTGAAGAAAGGAAGAATTCCCAGTCTTCGGAGATGTCATCTGAGCTGAAGAAACATGCCTCCTTTGGGCAAGAGCAGAGGAGGCTCCATTCCAGAGGGGTCTTTCCATTTGCCTTCCTGAGGACTCGCGCTCCGTCTGCCTGGTCTGAGATACATGAGATGAGCCTTCAGGGTTAACAGGAGCCACAGCACGGGTTGGCCTGGTGGTTTATGTGACTCTGTGGGGCAAGAGCTGCCTGAATGGCCCTCTGGGACACCAAGCCCCATGCAGCTGAGGGTTCCTAGCCTGAGATGGAAGCTGTTTTCCACCCAACTGGTCTGTCTTATATTTGCGGCGAGATGCCATGGATCTGTTTTTATCAAATACACAATTAAAAAGTCACACTATTAGGAAACTCTGCAGTGTGAACATATGGGCTTCTCCCAAGACTTAGAATTTTTCAGAGCCACTCAGAGCAGTGGGGGTCACGGCTCCCCAGTGCATAGAAGCAAAGAGCTGGGGAGGAGAAGCCAACACCCCCACTTCCCACCTAAAAGAGCAGCCATGAAGGTTTGGGGATTCTGGAGCGGAGAGCCCTGCATTTCTCAGCCCCCTTTTTGGAACACGCAATCCCAGGCTTGGAAAATGGCATTTTGCTGCGTGTTGGCAAGAAATCCTGCAGCTGAAACACTTCTCTCCAAATGTCGAGCATCTTTATTTATCCAAATCTCTCCACAGTGTTTGTTTAAAGGGGAGCGCTGGAGAGTAAACTAAATCTTACAATGAGCATATGGATGGCTATAATTGCTGAGGTTTGTTTTTTTTTTTTCATATTTGCTAACTCGCTATATATAAAATTGTGTTTCTATTTTATAGATTTCACACCCTGAAGACTGCTAATTTTTGCATGCATATGATTTTCACATGAATGGATGAAAATACTAAATCTCTTCCCCCTGGAATTGTCTAATTGCCCCGACCCTACTCTAACAGCAACTAGTGGGTGGGGGTGGTGCAAATGCCCGTCATTCTCTGTGGCACCCCACTTGCCTGGAAGCTCGGTCGGCCTCTGTCTGCTCACGAATTGGCATGGCTGCCTTCTGAACCCATCGATGCTGGAACGTGGGTCAGGAAGAACACACTCAGCTCCCGGTGCTTTCCATAGCCTTCCCTTTGGCCAGCCTTCTCTTTGAGATTTTTAAATAACGGAAGCAACCTCTGCCTCTGAATTAGCTGACAATGGGAAACATAAATTGCAAAGACGACCTTAAGTATAGCAAATCAAGGAAAACAAGACTTTGGTTTCACCATTGGTTTCAGCTTCCTGTCCCAGCAAGTCACCATCCTCGTCCCACTTCTCTCACTTCTCTCTGGCCCCATGTGCTCCCTTGGTGGAGACATGAAGGGGCAGGGAAGTGGCCTCTGGTGGGACCCCGGGATGCTTTCCCCACTTAACAAGTAGCAGAGCTAAGGCCCTCAGCAGGGAACAACTTCTCAGGCTCACAGAGGAAGGCGGTGGCAACAGGGAGACTTCGCAGTCACTTGGAGCACACCCCGCTGCGGACACCCCCTCTGGGACTTTTCTCTGCATCTCCTGATAGGATTTTGCAATTATTTTCCAACCAGTATCACAAGTTTTTTTTGTTTGTTTGTTTGTTTGTTTTTTTAAAAAAAAGGGGGGCCGGGCGCGGTGGCTCAAGCCTGTAATCCCAGCACTTTGGGAGGCCGAGGCGGGTGGATCACAAGGTCAAGAGATCGAGACCATCCTGGTCAACATGGTGAAACCCCGTCTCTACTAAAAATACAAAAAATTAGCTGGGCATGGTAGTGCGTGCCTATAATCCCAGCTACTCAGGAGGCTGAGGTAGGAGAATTGCCTGAACCCAGGAGGCGGAGGTTGCGGTGAGCCGAGATCGCGCCATTGCACTCCAGCCTGGGTAACAAGAGCGAAACTCCGTCTCAAAAAAAAAAAAAAAAAAAGGATTTCACAACTCTTAGCTGTCAGTTTCCTTCTACCTCTTGCTCTTTTCTTTGCTTGGTAGACATGTATGAGGCGAAGGCTGGGGCTGGACGCTGCGGGAGACTCAGGGAGATAGGGCGGCAGCATCACTGTCCACAAGGCGCTTCCAGCTAGTTAAGGACATTCAGGGGTGCCGCCTGATGAGGCCTGCGGAGGTGCTGACAGCGAGGGCTCCAGCAGGTGAGAGGAGGGGGCTCCCAGGCGCTGCCTCCTGCTCATGAGAGGCGATACTGGAACCTACAGAGAGAGAGGAGTTACTGGAGGTAGAGGGGGGATTGTGGTGAGAGTATGCACAGCACTGTCGGGCAGTGGGCATCGATCCCCTGCTGCCTGCAGAGTGGGCATCTCAGCCCTCGGTTCTAGAGCCCCTTGAGGCTGAGGTCACTGTAGCCCCTGCAGTTGCTGTGGCAGGCAGCAGAGCCCCGGCCCTGGAGTCAGAGAAGGCCTCGTCCCAGCTTCATGTTCATTGGCTAACCTTGATGTGTGACTTCGCCTGTCTGAACCCCACTTGGGAACTGAGCTTGTGGGGCAGATTAAGGAGCCTGCACTCCTAAGAGCCCCCCTAACCACACGGTCTCACTCTCAGAAGAGGTACGTGCCATGCCCTGGCTTTCCTCCCTGCTCCAGATGCGTGCCAGGGCCTGTTCCAGGCACGGGGGCAGAGCTGAGTTCTGCTCCAAGGAGGTGAGCTGAGCACTCAGTGGGTCAGGGGAGGGGACAGTACAAAGTGAATACACATAGCAAATACGACAGCTGTGGGCAAGAGCTATGGAGAAAAATAAAGCAGGGGAAAGGGACAGCGTGGGGGCCCAGGGCACGACTCACATGGTAAACAGAGTCCTTTCTGAGGAGACAATACAGCCAGAAACGTGAAGGCAGAGAGAGCCATGGAAACCATCATAGAGAACAGCAGTGCAAAGGGCCTGGGGCAGAACAGGAAGGAGAGCACTGTATAAGGGCACAGAGATAACAGGGCCTGGATCACGTGGAGCCTTGTGGGCCATGGCAGGAGGCTGGCTGTTACTCTGCTGGGAGGCCGCTGGAGGGTTCTGAGCAGAGGAGGCACAGACTGGGACTGTGACCAGCTATTTTTAGTCTCCGTTTTGTTCCAGGTTCCCAAGTTCACAGTGGCTTGTTTCTAACAGACCTTAGGGGTTGGCTGAGCCTGAGTGGAGCCCCTTCCATGCCAGCGCTGATGTCCCCAAGTCCTCCCAGGGAGGCACACCAGACCCTTGTCCTGCAGGTGGAACCAGGTGGCACCCTGCCTATCTCCTCCTTGTCCTCATGCCCGTCACCAGCATAACCCTTTACTCCCGACAGAATTCCAGCTTCCCGTGACCGAACCTGATATCAACAACAGGCTGGAGTCGTTGTGCCTCAGTATGACCGAACACGCCCTGGGAGGTGAGTGTCTTCTTCCTGCATGTCCCTGTTCCTGCGTGCCTGGGAGAAGTTCGGGCCATCCGCAGTCTACGCCATGGCAGGACCTCAGGAAAATGGGGGGAGGACAAGGAGGAACAGGCAGGGGACAGGAAGAGAGTGGCCTTAGGGCATTGTTGCACCCTTTTCCAGCAACACCAGGCCAAGCAGCCAGTGCCCTGTTTCTCCTCCTTTTCTGAGAGGTGAGTCAGGGACCTGGAGATCAAAGCTGTCCTTCAGTCCCCAGAAGCTCCACCTCCCAGTGCACATAGGAATCACACCATAGCTGTTGTCCCAGCCGAGTGCCAAGCCTGGAGGAGTCAGGGACACGAGACATGGCTTTTAGTGGGAATATCCCCACAACATTGGATGCTTCCCTTCTCGACACTAGATCTCCCAGCCTGGTCCAAGCATATCCCAGCCTGCCCTAAAAATAGAATTTTTGAAACCAAAACCCCAGCTTGTTTGTGTATCTCCTGGTTGTAAACAGCTTTCGTGACACCTGGAGCCCGAAGCAGGCTGAGGTGTCCTTTCCTGTGTGACAGGGACAGGTCAAGCTGGAGGCGCCTGCACATCCACAGCCCAAGCCAGGAACGGGGGCTGTGCTGTACAGGGCCAAGTCCCACCAGCAGCTCACAGAGGCAGCTGTGCTCCCCCATCCGTTTGACTGGAAGCCATGCTTGGTCACAGCAGCCCTGGGAGGCCTTCAGCTCCCTCCTGGTACTAAACAGGCACCTTGCTCTGGGTCTAGATCAGGTGTCCCCAAACTACAGCCCACGGGCCGCATGCGGCCCCCTGAGGCCATGTATCCGGCCCCCCGCCACACTTCAGGAAGGGGCACTTCTTTCACTGGTGGTCAGTGAGAGGAGCACAGTATGTGGCGGCCCTCCAACGGTCTGAGGGACAGTGAACTGGCCCCCTGTGTAAAAAGTCTGGGGACACCTGGTCTAGATATTTGGGATGCTTGGCAGGCAGAGGAGAGGAAAAGAGATGTCTGCTGTTTCCTGCCAGCTTCCTGGGAGGCTCTGTGCCATCGAGACACAGAGAGGCCTCCCGTGAGCCTTTCCAATAGCCGTATCCAGTCTAGACACACCTACCCACCCACCCAGAGAAGGGCTGTCTGCACACCTAGAGCCAAGATGTGCACCGCCTGGCCAAGTTGGGGAAAAGACCACCATCCACTGCGCTTCAGAGAGCCTTGTCCTCCAGACCTAAGGTTGTTAGATTCTTAGTCTCTACAAACACAATCTTATCCTGAAACCAAATGTGAAACTGATCAATGCTCTGCATGGAGCAGAGTGGTGGGCCGGGACTACACCCACCTGACCTCAGTACCAGGAGGAGGCTGAAGACCTTCCCGGGCCCCTGTGGCATCACAGGGCTTCAGCCCAAACAGATGGTGGAAGGCACAGCCCCTTCTGTGACTTCCCCCGGGGCTCTATAAAGAGCCCCGTTTGCAAACCTCTGCTCCCTACCTTGGCCATTCAGATCTCAGGAACATCACTGGGCCATCCTGGTACCTCTGGCAGGAGGTGCTGCCAGCTCCTCTTCACCTCATAGAGGAGACTGGGTCAGCAACCCCCTAACGAGTAATGGGAAACAACTCAAATGTCCACCAATGGATGGATATGACTCAACAAAATGCAGTACAGCCATACAGTGAAATGGCATTCAGCCTTTAAAAAGCAAAGATGTGGCCAGGTGTGGTGAGTCACACCTGTAAGCCCAGCACTTCGGGAGGCCGAGGCGGGCAGATCACCTGAGGTCAGGAGTTCGAGAGCAGCCTGGCCAAATGGTGAAACCCTATCTCTACTAAAAATTAAAAATTAGCCGGGTATGGTGGTACACACCTGTAGTCCCAGCTACTTGGGAGGCTGAGGCAGGAGAATTGCTTGAACCCAGGACTTGGAGGTTACAGTGAGCTGAGATTGCACCACTGCACTCCAGCCTGGGCGACAGAGTGAGACTCCGTCTCAAAAAAAAAAAGCAAAGTAGTACCAATCCATGCAATGCCGTGGATGAATCTTGACATGATGCTGAGTGAAACAAGCCAGGCATGAAAGACCACAAAGCGTATGATTCCATTTATGCGAGATGTCCAGGATACACTAATCTACTGGGACAGCAAGTAGATGAGTGGCTGCCAGGGGCTGAAGGGAGGAGGATGAAAATATTCTGCAATTAGATAGTGGTGAGGGTTGCACAGCTCTGCAAATATACAAAAAACGACGGAATTGTGTACTTTCAAAGGGTGAAAATTATGATATGCAAATATTTCAATGAAAACAAGTAATCAGAGTCTTCCTGGGGCCAGGGTCAGGATGGCAGCTGGTGAGTGAGTCCCCTGACCTGGCACCTGCCAGAGCTCCCACACAGGGAGGAAACCCCCGTTCTCCCCTGCTCTACAGTGGCCAGCTGGGCAGGGGGCTGACTCAGTCTTTCACTGCTTTTGACAGGAGAAAAAGGAGAACTGACCTTTTCCCCCAGGGCTTTGATACATATCAGACAATGGGCATTTTGGAGGCACATATCAAACTGCTAAGTACCAATATTATCATTAGTAGCAAGAATGCCGAATGCTGTTTATTAAAGGAAGGTTTTCATTGAAGAGACTTCATTTTTTCAGTCTGTTCTATTTTTACAGAAAACCTCTCTGAACTGATGGGCTTTTTGCTAATGTTTTCATCTTGTTAATCTCCTAAGCCTTTTTATTGCTGTGTTTTTTCCCAATAATCCCCTCTGGTGGGAAGCCTCGTAAGCAGTTTCCTGAGCGGAGAATGCAAATTAAGTTCAGGGTGGCCTAGTTGGGCACAGTGGCAGTGTACCCTCCCAATATGACAGAGCCTCTCTGCTGGCCGACCCCTTCCAGGTGCCAGGAAAGATGACCTTGCTGGAGACAGAATGCCAATGAATTAAGTCATTTTATGGGAAGAGGAATGGGCAGGGAGAGGAAAGCACAGTAAACAAGGTTCTGGCCAGGCACAGTGGCTCATGCCTATAATCCCAGCACTCTGGGAGGCTGAGGAGGGCAGATCACCTGAGGTCGGGAGTTCAAGACCAGCCTGGCCAACATGGTGAAACCCCATCTCTACTAAAACTACAAAAGTTAGCTGGGCCTGTAATCCCAGCTACTCCAGAGGCTGAGGCTGGAAAATTGCTTGACCAGGACCCAGGCAGCAGAGGATGCAGTGAGGGGGGATCGCACCACTGCACTTTGGCCTGTGCTGCAGAATGAGACTCCATCTCATTTAAAAAAAAAAAAAAAAAAGCCAGGCACAGTGGCTCACGCCTGTAATCCCAGCACTTTGGGAGGCTGAGGCAGGTGGATCACCTGAGGTCAGGAGTTCGAGACCAGCCTGACCAACATAGTGAAACCCTCTCTACCAAAAATACAAAAATTAGCTGGGCATGGTGGCAGGCACCTGTGATCCCAGCTACTCAGGAGGCTGAGGCAGGAGAATCATTTGAACCTGAAAGGCGGAGGTTGCAGTGAGCTGAGACCTTGCCAGTGCACTCCAACCTGGGCAACAGAGCAAAACTCCATCTCAAAAAAAAAAAAAAAAGAAGAAAGAAAGAAAGAAAAAAAGGTTCTGACGCTTGTGACTCAGGGATGGAAGAAGAGAGGCTGACGTTTAGGATAGGTGATCTGACACACTCAGGGACCATTGCTTCCTTTCTCAAAAATCTCCCCTGAAATCATACAGAATTTATCCACAAGTACACCGGGTCTCTTTGAACTACTTCCTACCACTGCATGTAAGCCTACAGTGATCTCAGAAGTTTCAACTGAAGAAGTGTTTCTCCTCCAAGGCCCTGCTGGCAGAGTTGCCATCCTGGCACCACCCATAGGAGGCCAGGAACCCCCTGTGGTGGCCTCAGCACACCCCTCTATCACTGTGTCCTCCAGCTTTCCCTGGAACATACTGCAACTCCCTTCTCACACCTGAGTTCTGCCAAGCAGAGATGCTGCATCTGGTGGACCAGTTATACTGGGGCTTGCACTGGGACGTCAGCAAGGCAGCGAGGCACCCCACATCCCTCCCTGTCTCGCCCACATTTAGTGGCCACTGAACGCAGTTATTACTGCCGCCTGTGATGGCTAATCCATGCCACTCTCTGCTCACTGGAAAAGACCCTTGTCAGTTCTGGCACAGACCATCATAGGGCCCTCTTAACTGGTCCACCTGCCACCAGCCTTATCCTGCCTCAGGTTATCTGATGCAACTGCCAGAGAAACCATTCTAAAATTAAGTCAGATTCCACTGCTTATAATCCCCCAATTATCTACCTCTAAATTCTTGTTCATGGTAGGTAATACCCTTATGGTCTGCTCCCAGGGACCCTCCTAGAACCTACGTGTAACCAGACAGCCAAAAAGGGTCCCCGCAGCCGTCAGCTCCCCTCTCTTACTCGTGGCCTTGCTCCTCTGATGGGCACATCCCCTGCCTTCTCTGTAGCCCGGGTTTTCCACTTCTCCAAAATGTAGACTTGGCAGATTCTGGGCGGCCTCAGCACTCTTCAACCTCCACGAGACTGTTCAGTTCTAAGTGCCCGCAACACCCACCTCGGACATCTCTGCCTTTGATCAGATTCTCGAGACACAGAACCAGATTTGTTTGGGTCAGATGTATCCATCCCTCTGGTCTGCTCGGCTGTGGACAGGGTCACAGCTGCCTTGTCCCCAGTCTCTCATCAAGGACATGGGGTGAGAAGGAGAGGCTGCCAAAGACAGGGATGTGAGCTACACAGGTCCGCCTGCGTGTGTGTTGCAGCCCCTGCCTGGAACTTCGACCCCATTCCCCATCCTTCATCCTAAACCTCCAGCGCACCCTCAGCCTCACCACTCGATGAGTGGTCTCCCGAGTATCATCCCGCCTCTGCTTGCACCACACGCCATCCTCACCCCCCTCCTCTCCTGCCAGCACCAGCTACAGAAGTCATTTTGTGTCTCTGTGAAACTGTCCCTGACTTCCAAGGCCAACTGGGCAGCCATCATTCCTTCCTGCATATCCCTGCTATCTTGGTACCTACTCCATTATGGCAATGATCACATATAGCATTATCGTCTGCCCACATGTCTGTGTCTACCCTCACACATAAGTACTTAGAAGGCGCAGACTACGTATTTTCATCTTGATTCTCAGGTTCAATATGGCTCCTGGCAAAAATAGCTCTTCCCCAGATATCGAGTAGCTGAGTATGTCAATGAATGAACACGCAAACCTAGGAGCCCTTATCTGTCCTCAGAGACTGGGAGGGCCATCATGCATGGTGCCGCCATAGGTGGGCACGAACAGGATTGTTTTGCTCAGCTGTGCCCATTGTTTGCTGCTTTCTCTCCCAGACGGGGTTGACCGGACCTCCACAATCTAGAAGCTGAAGATGAGAGTGACCACGCTGGCCATGAAATCGACTGCTGCGGGTCCAGTGTCAGCCATCTTCAGGGTTGCACAGAATCCTCCAAGATACTCTGCAGCCTTTTTTTCCCCTGGTCCCTCTCCCATTTTGATTTTGTGAGAGCGTAGGTCATCCTCGTAAACATATCGGTAGACCTGGGGTTGGTTCTTTTGTCATTTGTTTCTGTCCTGGGATGGTTTGGTGTGTGGGGCTGGGGAGGGGTCTCTAGGGAATTCTGAGACTGGGAGGGGGGTGGAGGGAATGCACGTAGCTCCCTGGATGGAAAGGGGGCAGGGGAAAGAGGACTGCAATGAAAGAGATAGGAGACACACAAGAGGCGGGCAGAAGCCCTGGCCCAGGGGAGGCTTCTCGGAAGGACTGGCCTCACGGGCAGGCCACGGAAGGATATCGTGGGCACGTGCACCCAAAGCAAGATAGTGGCTCACCTTTTATTATCCAGTCCAATCTGGATTGGATGTCCCTGAGGCCCCTGCTAGAAACAGCCAGAGGAGAGGGCCCATGCCAACAGGGGAAAGAAGGAAGAAACTCCCTCCAGCAAACTTCAGCTAAACTTTGATTTGTGTATTGTTTACATAAGAATGTTAAAGGGTACATAATGTGTAAAGAGATTGGATCGAACCTCTCTTCAGACTATGGTTTTTGTAAAGGATCTGTTGTTGTTCTGGATTCATTTTTTTCCTCCATTTTTATAAGAGCAGCAGAGTTGTCTTTTTAAAACGGCTGCCGAGCTCTGCTTCTCGGGAAGATGGACGCAGTCACGTAGGCCTGAGCTGTCCATCTTTCACCATTAGGTGGGAGGAGCACGTGGGTGGACTTGAAGGACGTGGATGTGGTCGGAATGAGCACAGCGTTGGGTGAGAGCACAAGGATGAAGGCATCGTGTGATCAGTGATGGGTTTGCTCGCAGGGCACCCAGAGATTCTCAGAGAATCTTGCAGCCTCTTTCTGTGCTGGATTTGCTTGTCACGGACAGGCCTCCCTCCCTTTCCGCCCCACCATGGGGCATCATCCTGTCATTCCCAGCCTTGCTCTACACACACAGCTGGGTACAAGTCCCACTGGAGGAGAAAAGGCAAGGATGGACTTTTTCCCCTTGTGAGAGGTTTGATACCCAGATAATGAGCTCAAAACCTTTATGTGGGGGTTGCTTGTAGGAACTCGAGCCTGGAGGCTGCATCCACTTCACCCATCACTGCTGAGGAGGAGGAGGGGAGAAAGGCCCAGGAACAGTGTACAGAGAGTCGGTCAGCAAGTGCCAGAGAGCGCGTGCAGGGAGCTGTTTGGCCCACACGGGACAGCCCCAGCATCCCCAGTGGGCGCTAAAAGATGGAAGAAAGATTGATTTCACGACGGAAATGACAGCGCTATCCACACAACACGAATTAGGGATTTGCTGTGTTGGTTGATTTGTCCATCCACACAAAGGAGAGGAAAAAACACTCGTTAACGCGGTGAGAGATTAAGAAACTGCGGTACCTACCCCAAAGTAACGGCTCTGTTTATGAAGGGCAAGAAAGGCTACATTTCAGAATGCGAAGCAGGGGAGGGTATTAGAGGAAATCAAAGAGGAGTTGTGCTCTGCACTGGAAAATTGGGTTGTGCAAATGAAAGTATGAGTGCTCAGCCAGAGGCAAGATCAGGGAGATGGTACAAGGCCTGTTTATTAAGTGGATGAGTTGGGTGCCGTGTGTGTGTGTGTGTGTGTGTGTGTGTGTGTGTGTGAAGTCACAGTTGAAATTTAAAAGATCAGACCATGGAAATCACTGCCCTCACCTTTTTTTTTTTTTTTAAGCTAATGAACTACATACAGTTCTAAAAGGCCTTAATGAAATCCAAACAATTTTCTTTTACTTTCAAGATCAAAAACGTACACCCAACCCAGCCTTGGATGCCGCCACCAGGTTTTTGAAGTCCTTTTGAGTCTAAGAAGGTGAGAACAACGTAACCACAGAAAGCCTTTCATGAGCAGAGAAGGCTTGAATCCACAATTTCATGCGTCAAATTAAAAAAAAAAAAAAAAAAAAAAAAAAGGTTCAGACCTCTCCTTGGGTGACTAAGTTCTAAAGATGCAAATCCATGTGCAGAAAGAGATGGCGTTTTTTAGTTGATGATTTTTAACCAAGTGCCATTAACATTCATCCCTTTTCTAAATAAGCTCAGTGTTACTTGGGGAATGTGTTGGGATGGTTGATCACATGTCAGGCAGGAAGAATAGGTCAAATGTTGAAGGCCAAAGGTAAGACCAGAGGGTTTGCGAATGTGGGTGTGTAGGATACTGAGAAAGCGAATGAAGAGGAGGAAAAACCGGGGTATTACACATCTCGCTGAGAGAGGAAAGCATTCGGATCTGCTGCAAAAACACATATATCCATAGACTCATGTTATTCAGAAAACAGATTGTGAACACAATCACGTTAGCATGAATCCTTTAAAAGGAAGAAGACCTTAAAATATTTGCAAATCTGAATTTCTATTTATTCCTTCACTGAATATAGAAACAATGGTTATCTGATTATTAGAGATATTATTTTGGATATGTTACTTATTAACTTGCTATGGCTGGTAACCATGATAAAGTCTGTTATTAATAACAACATAGTTCTTTTTTTAAAGAAGAAAAGCTTATTTTTCATTGACTGTGTATAGATATATCTACTTAGTTGTGTTTTGCTATTAGTGTTTTAATTTTTTTTTAAGTTGAGTGTTTGATAAATTTTAAGAGTCTGTCCCCACCTTGTTTTGAGTCCTGTGTTGACTACAGGTATACAGCTCAATTTAAAAATCCTAAAGCAAAAGAATTTTATTTATAGAAGAATCAAACAGTTGCATGCATAAGGCTGTGAAGTCAGATATTTAGTAATAAAAGCAGCAGTGCCTTTTTTTGTATTTACCCATTGACCCCCCCCCCCAAATGCAACTGTTTTATATTGAGAAAATAGTAACAATTTTAAAATCTCAGAGTAAAATCTATTTCACTACATGTTTCTCCCCCTTGTTCTGATTTAAGCAGTGTGTACTTGGCATCTCTACACTGTCCCAGGGACAGTGATGTCCTACAATATTGTTATCATGTATGATGTTTTATTGGTGCTTTTTATTCACAGTGGTTTCTTACCAGAAACAGTAGGAAGAAACACATGAACTGTGTACAAGACACGAAACATTGCTGCTGATACGTTGTTGTTGTTTTTTCACATGCTTTTGAGTTTTCACTTTTTAAACCAGAGCCAGCAAGCAAAATAGACATGGCTGGGTCTGCCCATTGGGGCGGCTCTTTGCACCGAGCTCTCAAATCCTGTGTATTGAGGGTTCCTTTCTGGTACTCAGGATTGGAGCTACAGCTGGGCCCCCCTCTCTCCCATTCATTTGAAGAGACACTGAGGGAAACAAGGGTTTCTTTTGAGGTGTCCTTGGCTGCCTTTTATAGGATGGGAGCCTTCTCCTGGTCTTTTGTTCTTCTGCACCTCTCGTAGCTACTGCCGGTGCAAGGTTGTACATGTGGATTCCCCAGGAGCCTGGGCTGGGGGGCCAAGCTGGGCTGAATGCAAAGACGTGCAACCAGAAGGCAGGCGAGGGGAGGAAAAGCAAGCCCCGTCTCATTGGTCCTCTGGGAGATGTCTGTGGCAGTCAGCTCCAGCTTGGGCCTGGGGAAGCAGCCTGACCAAGGCGCTTGGGTGTGCCTGTTACAGGAAGAACCTGCAGAAGGATCATTTGCACATGGAGCTGTGATAACACTAATGTTGATTTTTTTTTTTTTTACAAGTCCTCAGAGATGTTTGCAAAGTGAGTTTTATTTTTTTGTAATTCCTTTATCTTTACTTAAAGGTGAATGTGTATTCCTCTGGGAGGAATAGGAAGAAAACAGGAATGTTAATGTCAAACAGAAGACTTCCTCCCTTATTAATATATAACCCTCATGTATTTATGCCTAATGTAAGCTGACTTTTAAAAAGCTTTCTTTCGTTGCATGCCCTGTGCAGGCATCTGTATTGTACATGCATGCCTTTCGTCCTGTTTTCCTGTATAAAGTTAGTGAACAAAGAAATATTTTTGCCTAGTTCATGTTGCCAAGCAATGCATATTTTTTAAATTTGTCATATATGGAAAGAGCATGTTTGTTACATGTAAAAGCTTTACTGATATACAGATATACTAATGTTTGAAGATGCTGTTCTTTGCAAGTGTACAGTTTTCAAATGTTGTTACCAGTGAAACACCCTCGTGGTTCAAACTTGCTACAATGTATTTATTATTCATTTCCTCCCATGTAACTAAGAATCATGGCTATATTTCATATCAACGTTATATTGAAAGTGAAGGGAAATGATTAATACAAGGTTTTGTAACACTGGTGTGTGTCTTTTTTCCTTTTTTTCCCAACATACATGATTGAGGAGAAAATGAGAACTGAGGCCTGGCACAGTGGCTCGTGCCTGTAATCCCAGCACTTTGGGAGGCCGAGGCAGGTTGGTCACTCGAGGTCAGGAGTTTGAGACCAACCTGGCCAACATGGTGAAACCCCGTCTCTACTAAAAATACGAAAAAAGTAGCAAGGCATGGTGGTGCATGCCTGTGATCCCAGGTACTGGGGAGGCTGAGGCAGGAGAATCACTTGAACCCAGAAGGCGAAGGTTGCAAGTGAGCTGAGATCGCCTGAGCAACAGAAGAAAACTCTGTGAGTCTTAGAAATAGCCCCCACAAGGAAAAAACAGAATGGAATCTCTGTTAACTATTCCCACCTGGCCATTCTACACAAGCCACATCTTCAGCTATGAGCTGCTGCTTAACAAAATATGGAGAGAGGGTGTAGAAATGTATGCAGTTTGATATGTGCCCAAAATAGCCAATAAATGTGTCACCAGACCTAGGGGCACATTTCTAAATACAAACTCCAACTTTGCAGACACCGCTGTTGATAGCTTGTTTCCCTCATTGCCTTTGAAATATTTCACACCTTAACCATTTCACACCTTAAGCAGCCTCCTTGGCGCTCTGGGTCTTATCTACCCATGGCTTAAATCTCATTCTAATATTTCTAATTCCTCTGTGATATCGATTCAATTCTAAATATTGGGTCAGTTGAGCATATGAGTGTAGAGATGCACCTGGGTTTGAATTCTGGCTCAAGCATTCTCTAGCTGTGTGATCTTAGACAAATTACTTGATCTCTCTAAGCCATGAGTTTGTTTTTTGGCTTATGATACTCAAAGTTTATATCATTAAATCTCTAATAAAAGGTGAAAACGAAAGAAAACATGTGATAGAGAGGTTACTGCCACTATAACCTAGCAACCCAAGAGTTCTGAGGAGCCACAGCTTGACAGGATGACAGTGACCACACAGTGACTGACTCCCTTTTCACCAGGCTCCACTGCTCAACTGACATGTCAGATCCAAATTGGTCCCCAGAAACACAATTTCTCACAGGCTGAGATGTCAAATGTAATTCCTCATAAAGCCTTGTAACCCAGATGGCTATATCTCAGGATGACTGCAGTCCTAGGAAGGAGAGAGAAGTATGCAAGGGAAAATGTTAGCCTCACTTTGAAATGTGTGGAATGAGGGTAAATGTTAAGAGTTGTGAGATTAAAGGAGAGGAACCATGAAGAGCTCAGCATGGTGTCTGAAAGGAGGTTACTTAGCGATTTTTATCAGCAAAGCTGTAGCTCTTTGCCGGTGATCTTTGTTATAGAATGTTCATTTCTGGAGAAAACATTACCCATGGAGTAAAGCAGCTAGGACTCCCCTCAACAGCCCCCTTCCAAAACCAGATGGAATGCCACTTGTTAAAGGGGAATGAACATGTAGATAGCACCATGGCATGGAAGAGACTGCAGGGGGTTTGAGCCAGGAGTTCAGAAGTAGGTCTTATCCACCCATACTCCATGTGCTAACGCAGACAGGAGCCGGGGTGGCAGGGGTGTGCAACACAAGCCAGGAATTCAAACTCTCATGAAAGTGTCTTGTTCCCGTGGACAGTCACTACGTCTGTCACTAGCCCTGACTCCCAATCAGCCTAAGACCTATTGTCCCCAGTGGTTGCAGGAAAGGTTGGGGGACAATACCTTTATCAGTGCAAATGTCATCCAGATCCAGGAGGCGGAGGTTGCGGTGAGCTGAGATCGTGCCATTGCACTCCAGCCTGGGTAACAAGAGCAAAACCCTGTCTCAAAAAAGAAATGGGTCACTCGTTTGAGCACTGTTTCCAGAGCAACCCTTAGACCAGGCGTCCCCAAACTTTTTACACAGGAGGCCAGTTCACTGTCCCTCAGACCATTGGAGGGCCGCCACATACTGTGCTCCTCTCACTGACCACCAATGAAAGAGGTGCCCCTTCCTGAAGTGCGGCGGGAGGCCAGATAAATGGCCTCAGGGGGCCGCATGTGGCCCGCGGGCTGTAGTTTGGGGACCCCTGCCTTAGACCTTGACCTTCAGACTTTTCCACTCTCAGTTTCTGGCCTCTAGAGATTAAGAACAGAGAATGACACGCGTGCGTGCGTGTGTGTGTGTGTGTGTGTGTGTGTGTGTGTGTGTGTTTGTGTGTCTGTCTCTATACATTTGGGAAACATTAATTACCAGGAAACTGGGACACTTTGGCAGAACTTAAACATGACATTTCAGTCATCACTGAGGAGCACCACTGCAGCAAATGATTATTCACAGTGCACAGTGTCCTCTCAGACTTCAACCCAGCCCGCTGGCTTCCCACACCCTGCCTTGCCCCTGGGGCTCTTGTCCACAGACACTGACTTCTCTGTGATGTAAACCTAGGAAGTCAATGTCAGGAATTTCCTCCATGGAATATTTTTCACTCTTAAGTGGTTTCTACTTCAATTTTTGAAACCAACAGAGAAATATTCTGGCAACCTTATAAAGCTTGTACTTCATAAAATATAACTTTATGTTTGAGGCAGAGCGCGTGTTTTTAAATAGTGTGTTGCAAAGTTTTTTGAGGTTTTCTTTTTTAAGACTAATCCAGGAGAAACAAATTGGAGCTTCGGTGAGTGAAACGGTCCTCCCAGAGCTATTGGAGCTCGGGACTGCCAAGAGGCTCCAGTTAAACCTTCCTGTGGGAACCACAGCCAGGCCTGGGTGTCCCTCAGCTTTCTCCAGTGTTCTTGGGACATATTTATGGTTGTCCTTGTCAGAAAACTTCTTTAACGTGATCTCAGTCACCCAGGCTAGAGTGCAGTGGCACGATCACAGCTCAGTGCAGCCTCAGCCTTCCCAGGCTCAGGTGATCCTCCCGCCTCAGCCTCCTGAGTAGCTGGTACTAGAAGCACTTGCTAAAGTTTTTATTGTTTGTAGAGACAGGGTTTTGCCATGTTGCCCAAGTTGGTCTCCAACTCTTAAGCTCAAGAGATGCCCCCACCTCAGCTTCCCAGAGAGCTAGGGTTACAGGCGCAAGTCACCATACTGAGCCCCATAAAACAGCCTCAGTTAAGGAAGGAGGAACCTACAAACCCAAATCAAATCTGTCCGACTTGACCTCAATGATTCGCTTTTTGTTATATTTATCCCCGATCTGGTCACTGAGAAGAGGCTAAACATTAATTTCCAATGTAACTCATTGAAGACGGATTATGTACAAAGACAGCAAACTGGGGCTGAGAGAAAACGTCTATGCGATGAATCCTTCCCCTCCATCCACTGCCAGTTGTGCCAACCCAGTCCCAGGCCAGTGAGCACATTCTGCCTACTTTCTGTTGTCCCTGTGCTCTGGCGTCTGGACGACGTCATCTTTTAGCCAGCTCCACTTTGCTCTTGTAAGACACAGAATCTAAGCCCTCATGGCACTTGAAGTTCTCTGAGTTTACCCAGTGTCTGCCTTTTTAAGAGAAAAAAAGAGATGAGGGTCTATGTTGCCCAGGCTGGTCCTGAACTCCCGGCCTCAAGCACTCCTCCTGATTTAGCCTCCTGAGTAGCTGGGCTTAAGGAGTGAGCCACCACACCTAGCCAGATGTACATCTTAAATGTTTATATCCAACCCGGCCTGCAAAACACAAAGATTTAAGGGGACAGGCTGTCTTCCTTGTACACAGGGACAGCATGCTAACCGACTGGATGTCTGGAAATAGAAGATACCTTGCAGGACACAAGCACCAATTTCCCTCTGCAAATGGGAGGTGAAGTCCAGAGTTACAGTGAGGCATCTTCCCTGTGGCCACTTGAGAAAGCACGAGATGCCTCTGCAGGCCCTGGGGTCCTTTCAGTCTCTTAGCTTAAATGATATGAGCCCAGAAGTGAGCATGCCTCGAAGAGGGCAGGAGGGAAAATAAGGCCTGCTACGCTCCTCCCCAGGCAGGAGGTAGACACTTCCCACAGTGGGCAGAGCTCTGCTGTCGTCCTCAGGTTCCCTGGGGAAGCCTCCTCACCCATGGCTTACTGCCTGGATGGCAGATGCCACCCAAGCTTCCTTCAGAAGATGCCACCCAGGTCCTTCAGAAGAAAGGAAGCCACACCGGAAGGACTAAAAGCAGGGACTCCTGGAGGGGGCCTCAGGAACAGTCAGATTTAGGAGCAAGAGAGAACATGGGAATTGGAAGAAGTGAAATATGTAAGTACCCAAGTGGAATTCTGAATGCAGAGAATGTAGAGTTGGCGGTGCGGGGTGGGTGGAAGTGGGGTCTGGGGATGGAGGTGGGGCCAGTCCTAAAGGGCCGTGGCAAAAAGTGTAGGCTCTCCTGGACAATAGCTGTGCTGCTGGCAATGGTCTGATCAGCTGGAAGGGTTTTGTTGCCTTGTGGAAGAGAAGAGCATACGTGAACAGTCTCCCTCCTGTCCCAAGTCCCAGTCACTCAGTTCCCCTCACCAGAGGCCCCCAGTGTAGGTCTCCTGTGTACCCGCCAAGAGATATTCTCTCCATGTGCAAACACAAATCTATATTTTGTTCCCCCTTTGTACACCAAAAAAAAGCATACCGCGCACACTGTTCGTCATGGTGTGGCATTTCTCTTTTTTCACTAAATCGGTTTTGGAGACCATTCTACAGGTACTGATCGACTTACGACCTATGCAACTTATGACCATTCAACTTTATGACCACAATCGCTAGCCACGACTGCCCCGCGTCTGGCAGCGCAAACATTGCCCAGCCGGGCATACGACAGTGCGGACCAGCTTCCGGCAGCACTACCATCTCCACGTGCACCATTTCAACTGTTATTCCAGACTCGGTACAGCAATTTGTCTTTTGTGTCTTGGATATTTTTCATCAAACCCCTCCCAAGATGTCTACCAAGAGGAAATTGTCTTTGTCTACGCCTCAGCCTGCCAAGAAGGAAAGAAAGGCCATTGATCTCGACATGAAAATCAAGGTAATTAAGCAGTACGAAGGAGAAAGTGAAT